GAGAGTTACAGATGATGGAAGCAGGAGCAAACAGGTCTAGGGTTGGCACCAACTCTTCATCATCTTCTTTCTTTGGCGATCACGCGTATCTGAGTAAGATTGTCTTCCATGAACATGGTTTTAACAGTGTGTCCGTAAGTGACTGTGGCACCAACTATCTGTACCATGGCATACACATGCCAGGGTTGCCAGAGCTGGTGTTAGCCACAGCAGCCTTCCTTCCTTTTTATTAAACAGAATGGTTACAGACACCCATTTTATTTTTTTTTACTTTACTTTTACACAACAGAATAGTGCTTACTCTCAAGTAAATGCCTTTAGCATTGGCGCAGCAGAAGCAAACTACATTTTATTACTGTTGTCATAACAGTGCTAGAGTTTACACGTGTTTTAAAATGTAAAGCAATGTATGCTCAGGGTTGTCAAACCTTTTGTATTTTGGTTTTTAACATATCAGGAACATAGAAGCAACTGTAAAACTTAGAACGGTGGTGGTGTATGCATATTGGTATGCAGAAGATAAATATTAATGGTCCATAACTGAATGCACAAGACCTTTGGGACCTCTGTAAGACCCTTGAGTTCAAGGTCTAAATTTACCTAGCTGCACTGTTGGTTAAGAGCTTCCATTGCTCTTATCTTTCTCACTTTTTCTGATAAGAACTTATGGCACAACATCATGAAAAGACCACATGAAAGTTGCATTTGTGTGGAAACTTGTTGGTTGATGAGGTGTTAGCAAATTGGATAGAGTTTACTACATTGGACAGACTTCAGGTTCCTTGCATATTGTACAGGATGTTTTTGGGGGGGATTCTGGGAATGTGGAGCACACTCTCAAATACTAGAGTTTTAGGAAACTCTTATTGGTGGCAATGCAGAGAGCCTCAATCTGATCAAAAGCCTTGACAGAAACAAAAAGGTAAAAGCCCCCATGCCTGCTATTTATTTTTTTAAATGCAAGGACTAATGACATGGATGATTTCTAGTTTGCCCATTATTTATTTACCTCTTGCTTTTCTTTATCTATTCCTTAAATTAAAAAAATTGTGCTGTTGGCGTGACTATGACTATGCTGGATTGCAGTTGCTTGACAGTTTCCTGTTGATTGCTGAGATTCCATCTCAACATTAATTGTTGCTGTGTTTTTTCCATGGCACAAGGTGTGTTGCCCCCCATCTACAAATCACAAGGAGATTAATTGGATACTTCTGTAGTTGACACCTCAAAAGCTACAAGGGAAATATCTCCATGACCTTTCCATTTGGCAAAATCTAGTAGAACAGCACTAAGGATAAGCTTATGACAACAAAATCCTAAGAAGTTATTTTAAAAAATACATGAGTTGAGTGAGAGTAACTATCCTGCTGCCTACAGAAACTTCATTCATTTATCTTTTAGAACCCAGTGTTAAAGATTATTGTTTCTGCGCTCTCTCTCTCTGTCTGTATATTTTACAACATGTGGGCATGCTTAACTAAAAAGTACTACTGGGGCGTCTCAGATGTTTCATCAAAATTACTGTTTACTTTTATAGAAATGTGACAGCAGGATTGCAGTTAATACCTCCTTCTGTTTTGTCTAGAACAGCCACTTGGCTGAACTGAATATAAAGGGGATCGTAAAGGCTATATAGTAAGCACGTGCATTCAAAATTTGCATTTCTATCATGTTTTGCCTAACATGCAATTTGCAATGCCGGCAACTTCAGAGCTTTCTGCAGTGCTTCAGGGCGAAAAACCAATTTGACCCAGTACGGGCAGATCCCATCAAGACAGTTTTGCCACTGTGTCATTTGTTGTTGGCACATCTACAGGCAAATCTGGCTGAGAAGCCCCCTAAGGCATAGCATTAAAAAAACGGACATATCCCATCCCCACAGAAACAAGAGAGCATATATATATATATAAGCTAGCCTTAGACCACAGTAATGATACATGTTTCAGGATGTGCCAGAGCAACAGCTGACCCTGTTCTGTGGGAAGAACTGCGATCTGACAATGCAGGCATGCTTTGAGGAGTGTGGCCTGCTACTAGGTTGCTCAGCCCTTGCTCTCTTGACTAATTACATCAAGCAGATGGGGATTCGCTGGACTGGTGTAAGCGGCCATTAATACTTTGTTGTGCAAACAGGCAGCCCTGGCCCCCTTGAAAGAGACAAGCATGCTGGCAGTGCCGGATTTACGTATAAGCTAAACAAGCTATAGCTTAGGGCCCCACTCTCTTGGGGGCCCCCAAAAAATTTAAAGGAAAAAAAACCTGGATGTACATTTCCAAAATAAATATTTTGTTATGTGCAAATGGCTTTAGATACCTATTAGGTCCATAAATCACCATATAGCATATATTCAACACAAAAAACAGTGACAATTTGTTGTTGACGAAGGACAGCTGGACATATAAAGGGCACCATTACCTTCAGTAGCTTAGGGCCTCATCAAACCTAAATCCGGCCCTGCATGCGTGCATGCCTTTATAAACCTTCCTCGGACTCTTAAGCATAGTAATATCTATCAACCAGTTGATCAACTTTGTGGCAAAGTACTTAAAACGGGTGGCTCTGTTGTACAAAACTACTTACCTAGACCCATTTCATTCTCTTTACTGCCCTGGCTTTGGCAATGAAACAACCTTATGGATGGCCTGTGCTGGGGGAGACCTAGCAGGAGAGGAAACCCTGTTGATTATTCTGGACCGCTCAGAAGGTTTTGATACTATCAGTCATTATATTTCCCTGGATTGGCTCTGTGGGTTAGGAGTTAAGAGTGGCGGTGGCTCCACTCAGCCCCATTTCACTAGATTCCATCTTTTCCCCTATGTTTTTGTTTGACATTTATATGAAGTTCATTCCACAATGAGCACAAGAGATTGCATTGTTGCACACTTATTACTGTCTCTTGTATTTTATTGCCTCCAACTGTTGTTTTCATTCATCTCTATTTTATATATACCTACCAGTTTTCCAAGATGCTTCAAACAAATCAAGTGGGCTCTTACAAACAAACAAACAAACAAACAAACAAACAAACAAACAAACAAACAAACGTGTTACCCTTACAAGTGCCACAGACCTGTGATAATTTTTGCAGGAATAGATTAAGATGTGGACAATTCTGCAGTTGTTAAGTGTTGAAGAGTCTTTGTTTTCAACCATCAAATGTTGCTTTAGTTGTTCTAGTCCAGGACATCAAGCAAGTCCTAACAGCTTAAGCACAAGTAAAAAAGTATGTATAAGATATTGCTGGGATGGAGGATGAAGCACACAGCTCTGAATGTTTAGTGTCAATATGGCATCAATCAAATAGGAAATGAAATATCAGTTTTGTTTCAAGCATATATTGACACCCAGTGAATATCTCAGTGCATGAAACAGTTCTTCTGGCTATGCAAAGTCAGTGAATTCAATATGCTTACAATAAGAATCCAGTCTTGTGCTCATGTCTATCTCGGCTAAAGCCCTTGTTGTTGTTGTTTAGTCATTTAGTCGTGTCCGACTCTTTGTGACCCCATGGACCAGAGCACGCCAGGCACTTCTGTCTTCCACTGCCTCCCGCAGTTTGGTCAAACTCATGCTGGTAGCTACGAGAACACTATCCAGCCATCTCGTCCTCTGTCGTCCCCTTCTCCTTGTGCCCTCCATCTTTCCCAACATCAGGGTCTTTTCCAGGGAGTCTTCTCTTCTCATGAGGTGGCCAAAGTATTGGAGTCTCAGCTTCAGGATCTGTCCTTCCAGTGAGCACTCAGGGCTGATTTCCTTCAGAATGGAGAGGTTTGATCTTCTTGCAGTCCATGGGACTCTCAAGAGTCTCCTCCAGCACCATAATTCAAAGAACCTGCATTAATGATTATCTATCAAGAAGTAAAACCCTTTGAACGTGAAAAGGCAAGAGTCCTGTGCAGGCATTCAAAAGTGACAAGAAAATTGCACGGGTGTGTGTGTGTGTGGAGTGACCCTGCCCTATGCCTGTGTAGTACACTTACTGCACAAGGCTTTCCATGACTGCTCTGAAGCAAGTCCTGAATTCAGTGGGGCTTACTCCCAGGTAAGTAGGGTTAAGGTTGCAACTCATGTTGGAGGGTATGCTTGAAGGATGGCGGGATCCCCAAGGATGTGCTCTGCAGGGAGCTGGCTTCAGGCACCAGGCCCATTGGCAGACTAACTCTGCATTACAAAGATGTCTGCAAATGTGACATAAAGGCTGGCAACATTAACCCCTCCATGTGGTAATCCCTTGCAGATGGTGACAGTGCCTGGAGACAATCTGTCAGGTTGCTTATCCACAGCAGTGACCAGATGATGAATGACTGCACAGAGAAAAGAAACGCCATGGTGCATCTGCAGCAGCACAACCGGACACCCTCATCTGTCCCAGCTTCAACAAAACATGTCTCTCAGGTACCAGTCTCTATAAGCCACAGCAGGTGCTGTAACTTTCCAACTGTGCCAGCCCCCAAGCCGTACCCCTTCATTGTCTCCCAAGAGAGACAGATGCATGACCACATTTTTACATTATGTAGATCACATGGTTTGCATGTAGGGCAAGGTCAGGAAAAGAATTTCTTTAGCTCAAGGCAGAATTCCCATCTGAGCAACCTTCTGTGGGTCACATTCTGAAGATGGGCAGAGCCAGAGGCAAAAGTGAGCAATACAATGATTTTGCCTTTGTACAGAAGAGTAATTTCTATGCACCTGTACACCCTTCTCTTCTATCCTAGCAAGCAAGGACTAATATCAGAGTTTCAGAACTTCGATAAGCGTCTCATAGAGCACTGAGAGGGCAGAACTTGGTGCCACAGTCATGATCCTGCCCCCTCCCAACTATGAACGTCTGCACAGGGATACGATGCTACTATAATGGGTGTACCCTTGGACAGTGTCACATGTGTGGAAATAAATGTAATTTGGGGTTTTAAAAATCGTGCTTCAGTGCTGACAGTTCATCTCTGAGGTCACCTGCTTTCATGACCAAATTGTAGTGCAAAGAGGCTCCCATAAGGACTTAAATTTAACTGTCATTTATTCTAGGGCAAACTCAAAAGGTTTCATTTTATTTTTTAGCAAATTCTATCATGTAAATGTTAACATAAAAACATCTGTACATTTGCCATGATACACTCAAAAGTGAAACAAATAAGATATAAATACAGATATGGATGTAACATGACAAAAGCGCCCAAAAAAAAGAGAAATAAAAGAAAATAACCAACCCAAAAATAGAAATTAAATACATGCGCGTGAACACTGTGCCAACAAACTCTTTTCTGATGGCCGACTGTTTTGAGTGGCTTTATAAGCCCATCCTTCCCATTTAAAACATTATTACTGTTAGCAAAATCCTGCTGCATTCTACAAACATTTCTCTGTTGTCCTTTAATATGAACTATTACACTTGATAAATAAAGGGTCTGGGAGGGTGGTAGAAAGAAGATTTATATGACAACGTTGCAAGTTACATTACTTATACAGGTTATTGAGAAGCTACTAGGAAGCGATAGAAAAGGTCTTGTGTTGTACTGTAATCCAGGCAAGCACACATAGTGTACCTTTTAAAAGGAAGCCACATGCCTCAGTCGATGCAGGACTATATAAGAGACCTACAGTACTTCAGATGGTGTGAAAGGGGTTGCATTGATTTGTTTGCTCATGCCCTGGGACGCTGGGCGCCCCACTGGAAGCATGTACATCTCCATCGAACCCAACCCAACAGCAGGCAGGGTTGTTCTGTGCGGATTCTCAGATATGAAGGTCTGGGAAGAGGAGGGAAATGGGTGCGGGGCGAGGGAAGGGGGGGGAAGAGAAGATGGGGAAGAATACAAAGAAAAAGAAACCTCTTTCTTTCAAAAGGTCTGAAAAGTTAAAGCCCTGCGTAAGGAGGCAGCAAGTAAAAAGGCAGCTGCAGACATTTGGACAGTGCTGAGAAAAGGTAGGAGCCCTCCGTAATCTGGCAGCTAAGCGCCAACATCATGCAGATTTGTCTTCACCAGCATGTATGGATTGGTAGCCAAAGGGTTCTTGTGCCTGGAAGAAAACACCCACCCCACCCTCAACTGTATAGCTTTAAGAAAGCAGATTGGTGCAGATTGGGTACTACCTAGCCCTTTGAGTACTACCCTAATGAAACAGAGTCATACCTGAAATACTAAGAGAGAAGGGAAACAATTTGCTATGTACAGTAGACACAAAACAAGATTATAAATAAAATCAGATTGTGTGGTTGTTGGGAGGTGGGGTGACAAACTCCTGGAGTACTCAAAGGTTGGGTGGGGAGGTGGCAACAGAAAAAGTGTCACACTAAGGAGCATTGGTTGACAAACGAAAGCAGTATTTTATTAAGAAAGGAAGGCCTGGTTATCTGAGTTGCAGCTCCTACAAAAGCCAATCGAGGTTTGGAAAGTACAAATTTCATACTGAGGATTGAAGCAGCAGCAGTAGTAGCACATTTCACATATCTTTTCTAAGAGATAGGTTGTCAGTTCCTTTGACAGTGAGTGTTGATACTTAACCAGTTCAGAGATATTACAGTGCATTCACGCTCAGTGCATACTAACAGATTTCATAAAGCTAGATAAAATTATTACAGAAGGAATTCAATCCCCAGCGAATATTGTAACAGAACAGAGTTCCGTTTTTTAAAATAAAATAAAATAAAAAAACACCATGAAAAACAGAGTAGGAATGAGTTTTGTCAAGTAAGTAGAACCTCCTCTGGAGTAAGAAGTCAAGACTATATCACAGCATATAGCTTTGCTTTCTTTTTTTTCTCACTTTGAAAAAATGTTTCTCAGCATGTGCTAAAAATAATAATCAGATAATTGAAACATCTACACAGAGGCGGGTCTTAAATGGGTTATAGTAGGGTAAGTGCATCTGCCCTATATAAACAGCACCATTGCAAGTTTGCTGAGATCTCCCAGGGAATTTCCATGACCGGTGTCACTCAGATGATGGTACTATACAATTTGTTTGTGTTGGTGTTTTCCCCCCCCCCGTAATAATTTTAAAAAGTGAGTTGAGGGGCCTAGTTTCCTTTCCTTTTTTTTTTTAAAGAATGTAGGGCTTTCTCCCAAAAAACCCAAGTGAGGCCATTCTAAATTTTAACCTCATCTCTGAAACAAGGACACATTCCTGAAATTAGAGGAACAGGAGGAACTAGTCAAATGTTTGACCGATACAAGCACAACCTAATAAAAAACCCAAGGTCTGAATCCAAGATGTCATACTCAAGGCAGATCCACTGAAATCAATTCACATGATGAACTTAAGCCCATTGATTTCAACGAGTCTACTGTAAGTATGACCCCCAAAACGTCAGTGGATAACTGCAGTGTGTTTAACCACGGTGTGTTCTATCGCCTTTTTTTTTTCCAAATGAAGAAGACTGCAACCCAGGCCTTGCTTCCTTTACATTCAGTAACAATAATATCCTACCATAGAAAGCTTTTAAAAGGACTAAAAATACTGATTGCAATAAATATCTGCATGGCCTCCATCAGCGGGTGGAGCGTGCTGATGAGGGGAGGGTCTCTGAGAGGCACAGCTGATGGCTTCTATGTCTACAGGCATGTCCAAAGATCTCCATTAACTGTGCGTGGAAACATCTGAAGATGAGCTGCTGTTGCTGTTGGTGGTCTGGGCCCTCTTTATGTACAAGTTGAGGAGCTTCATCTGAAAGAAAGGAGACACAGTAACACCACTCCTCCTCATTAATTTGCTTCCAGTTCAGAATGGGTCTTTCACAGTGCAGTCCTATGTGCGTCAGCCTGGAAGTAAGTCCCACTGAGTTCAATGTGACTCATGGATCCCTGACTTTGGTGTGGGCACCCAATGGTTGTAATTTTCACCAAATTTTCTGTTTTACAATTTCAGATAAACATTTTACAAACTTTAAAATATCCAGTGACTTCCCCCCTTCTCTTTCCATGGTTCATTTTACATATCATACATCCCTGCATATTTTACTATAACCGTTCAAATCAATTTTCCACTTTTACATCCATCAAAAATTGTTTACTCTGTTGAATTTATCTTATGCTGGCAGCGTTTTCAGCTGTTTACAGTTATTTTCCATATATTCAATAAATGTTTTCCAATCTTCTTTAAACATATGTTCTTCTTGCTCTTATTCTATATGTTAAATCTGCAAATTGTGTATATTCTGTCAATTTAAGTTGCCAATCCTCTTTAGTTGGGACCTGGCTCACTTTCCATTTGGGGCTAACGAAACACGGGCTGCATTTGTTGCATACATAAATAACCTTTTCTGACACCTGGGAATTTCAGTTTGGGTTATCCCCAACAAAAAGGACTCTGAGTTTTTTTTGGTAAAGTAATTTTAAATATTTTTTTCAATTCATTATAACTCATTTCCCAATACCCCTTTACCTTTTTACATGTCCACCACAAGTGGAAGAACGTTCTCTTCACTTCTTTACACTTCCAACACTTATCTGATTCTGTCTTAAAAATCTTAGCCAACCTACTCAGAGTTAAGTACCATCTATGAATCATTTTCAAATTGTTCTCTTTCAATGAATAGCAGTTCATTGAAAGGTGACTGAGGATTTTTTTTTTACTGTCGTATGGCTTTATTGTCAATGATTTTACTTTCGTTTTTTATGACGCATAGCAAATTTATTTTATGAGGCAACTAATAAAAAATAGAAGAAAATGGCTGGTCCCTGCACAAAAAGAATACAGTGGAGGAACATATCAACTTGCCAGGCCCATTCTGTCACTTTGCCATTTTGTGTGTGCCACAACTATTGATTCCTCCCAAACGCTGCTGTGGCTGAGCAAGGCCATTTTATATTATAGGGGACTCCTTTCCGGGCTAACATATATGGCAGATGCTTCTCCATCTTGAACTAGCCGAAATACACTCTTGAAAGGCCAGTAACCAACTACATATATGAGTGTGCTGTTCCTGAATGTTTGTGAAGCCAGCAAAATGCTTGGGAACAACTGCTCCTGATTTTGCCCTCTGACTGTGCTTAAAGTTACAGGAACGGCATGTGTTTCAAAATCAAGAGGCCGCACGTACCTTACTCCCAGTGAGCTGTGCAAGGTGAGGCTTCAGTTCTTCACCAATAACAGAATAGATTGCCACGAGGCAAAATACACTGGCTTTGCGAACACTGCTTTCTGTGTTGTCATAGCCCTAGATGGAAACAACGAAAGGAGTCATGAGAATCAAAAGGTTTCTTCACAAGTTGTCTCTTCCTTCAGGGTTAGGAGCTAGTGGAGTGGGTTTGTAGTACACTTTCAAATGAGAACAATTAAAATATGCAGGGACACAGAGAAACCTAGTCCCAACACAATTATTATTATTATTGTTTTTTTTAAAAAGATAATTTTCAAGATAGCCTGCAAAAGAAAATCATAAAGCAAATATAAAACAGATCAAACAAGCATTGTTACAAGATTTCTCCAACCTGGAAGGGGGTTCCCCTTCTCTCCTCCCTTCCCTTGGAAACTGGCATGCCCCAAAACTTAACAGAATAAACAGGAAAAGTGACATATGGCTTCAAGAACTACATAAGCTCTCCATAGACAGCAGGTTACCAGCCTGGCTCACAGTTGGCCATGGGTCACAGGAAAGAACTGGTAGCCCCAGCACCCAAGAATCCCCCTGCATGCAAGGTTGGGCTCATACTGTGGGTTTATTAGCCAAGGACTGGGCAGCGGTCTGCTTCTCTCTAGTACCAGTTAACCCTTCCTTAACCCATCGAAATGCAGGTTATTCAACTTCAGGAAGCAGCCTTTTCGGTAACGAATTCCCAGAAGGCTGAGTCATACTTGCCTGGGACAGGGAAGGCGTTCCTATATTTGCATTTGTAAAAGGAACATCAACTTTGTACAGAGAAGAAGGTTAACCTTAAAAAAACACCAAAAACCCAAGAACAAATTCTGACCAATAAATTGATTATTAAGTTATAATACGCTAAAAATTGTTTTTTGTAAAAGAAAAAAATTCAGTGATATAGAACAGTGCACTGAAAATTAAAAATAAAGCCACTCGGCGAAACCTGCAACAAAATCTTGCAGTGTGTTACTACACCCAGTCACCCATGTCCTTTCCCAGGACACTCAATTCAATTCCTGCTCCCCACTGTTTTTCATACCATGCCCCATCCAGACATTCGTATTCTGTGGCCCCTGACCCTGCTCAAACCTCACTTGCCTTTATTTGGTGTGTGTGTGTGTGTAAGAGAGACAGATTGCTTCCTCAGGTTTTCCCCTTACACTCCCCCCCCCCCCGCTTCTTTATTTTTCTACGTTTTCTTTATACTTCATAGCATTCCTTCTAATAGTGATCCCTGGTGACAAGTGCTGGCTGGATTACAATCAAAGTAAGTCCCCCAAAAAACAAGAGAGGTATTTGCATGCTTCAGGTGGGTGCTGTATGAAATGCAGTTTTGCGAGTGCTTTGTTTCCTATAAGACAGTGCCTGTAACATCACTAGTGCCAAAGAACACACCGCCTCCCTCATAATATGCACACTGTTTGGGGAACACTACATTTTAGCTTTTAAAAAACTTTTACTCCTATTGAAGCGTTGTGCTTTTTCACTGCATCACTCACACTGCTCAACAACGAATAGCATCAAGCATTGGGAAGAGCTGAGCCACTTCAAAAAGCCATTGCTTTTTAAAGATTTGTGATTTTTTACCAATAGAGGAAACCAGCTGTGGGGGGATTTAAAAATTGTGGTCTCAACAGAAGCAAAACATTGCAGAATGATGCCTGGATCGCACACAGCAACTGAGTCACAGCTGTGAAATTATTGCACTAAAATCAGCTTCTGGAAAGGCCCTGGCAGAAGGACAGAGCTTTTGGTCTGCTTGTGCCCTTGGCTCAGAGTGACCTCTGCTGGGAGAAGGCTACAACTATCTTCAGACCATATTCCCACCCCTTCTCCTGTTGCCAGACACTAAAGGGGAATGGTATTTATGAAGCAAGACTAAGGCAAGAATCCTCATAACAAATGAGGCAGAAGTATAAAAATACTTTCTCATTTCTAGAGCAGGTGTCTAATTAGGGTTAAATTCCTGGGCCCTGTTTCCAGGCTGCAATCAACTTTTTGCTCCTTGATTTAGGACAGATTCAGATGACCCACTTGGGAGGCACTTAGAATCCTATTGCCTGGCAACTGAAACTATGCAAGAAGGTGGCCATCTGTAGCCGTCAACCATTTGGTTAATATTGGCCTTTTAAGATTCTCTCCCCGTCTGAGTCAATGTAGTGCTGTAGCCAGAAAATGACAAACTGGCCTCAATTGAAGAAAAGGGCAGGCCACATCATGCTAAACAAGGGTGAAGTTAATTATAAATTAACTTTTTTATAATTATACATTTGACTTCATCTTGACAAGGTAATAATTTGCTTGACTTATACAGCTCCGTGCCTTCCTTGCGCTATTTTTAAAACAGTTTTTATTCCATGAACTGTGTGAATATGATGAAACAATATTTTTAAAATGACTGAGGAGAAACAACTTGAGTCACATTGTAAAAGATGCGACACAATCCAATGACTCTCCCAGGCACCGGGTTTCGCCTCGCCTTCTAACGCAGGTCTTGCCGAGAGAGGAAGCTTCTGAAACACCCGAGAGTTTTCTTTCTGCTTCACTCTGCTGCCAAAAGGGTCTTTTGGCTTTGCTACAACTCCTGAAGTTCTTAAACACTGGGCTTTAGCCCTCCGCAGAACTGAACATGGTTATATGCAATAGCCAGGCATTATATAGCCAGATCTCACTGGAAGTGACACCGACTGTATGGCTTTAAATCTCTGGTCATATCTTAATGAGCAACACCAAAAGCTCATTGATTTTCCTCTCAGAGCAAAAGACACACCACACCTAGAGGAAGAATTCCAAGTGGGGGCAGCTCTCACCCTAACCAACACGACCCTCCAGACAAAAACAAGTAGACAACCTGGGGAACAGATCCAGATGGGGAAGTTCACTCAAATGCACCACCTAACTTAACTGCATCTTTGAAACCTTAATGAACTCAAAAAAAGGAGGTATTCAGTCCAATGAAAAGGCTGTTTCAGGCTGCTGGGAAGCTATCACGGCTCTGATGAGAACTGGAATCCAACAACATCTGGAGACACCCCTTCAACTGGACTGAAGGCTTCATCTCAGGAGTTACGGGGAAACAGCCAACTGAATGAATGAACACTTCAGGGCTAAACTGTATATTACACATAAATGTGTATAACAAAGACCCAAAGGGTGGCTGTTTTTAAAAAATTAAAAGCAGCCTCAGAGGTTGCCATGTGAAAGGAGTGGCGGGGAGCATGAGATACTTAAACTTCTCATTCACAGGCCAATTTTCAAAGTTGTCCCTCCTGGGGTTTTGATTTTTTTAAAAAATCACCTTCACAGCACATATTTGCATGTAACAGTTCCATTTGCCTCTTAGGACACAACGGGAAATGAACTGTAACCTCCCCAAGGCACCAGCGCCTTTGTTTTGCAAACTGTGTGGTGTAGTAAATCACTCATGAGAACTTGGGAGCTCAGAAAGTGTGACCAACATTTACAAGAAAGCAAAACTTGCCAGTTTCAGTGTACTGATAGGTGAGAGGGGAGAACACACAGTCCCGTTTTCACAACTGTCTGATACCAGGAATGAGGGCAGTTGTGTCTGTGATACACATCAAAATATTGATTCAACCAGGGTGGGGGAGAGAGCCAGTAGAGCATTTTAAAGCAGCACTCTGCTTTCATGGTGGTTATGTGCCATCTGAGGGCACAAAGGTGTGGAAGAACATTGCCGCAATAATCTTTCAAGCAGAGAGTCAGCTGCGCAGAGGGAGGGAGAACCTCTGTTTCTGAATACGCCTTGACATCATGTGCACCATACAACAGCCGGGGGTGCTGAATGAGTCAGGTGGAACTCTGCCAGACGTGGTTCTTGTCCGCCTCAAACACATGGCTGTGCCTCTGACTTTGTACAAGAAAAAACGTGTCTAGTAACTTTCAGAGGAAAGAGAACCCATAAAATGTAGCTGCCAACTTCGCCATGCTATTGGAGGCTTGGGTCAAGAGAACACAATTCACTTTGGCTGATATATTCTTATTATACTGATAAAAAAACAAAACCCTAATCATAAATATGGTACTAATCTGAATTGTTCAGGAACCAAATCACAAGAGAACCTTAAAATGGCCAAACAAAAAAACCAAAAACATTGCAGGCCAGACCCTATAAGTATCTCTAGCTAAATAATTCCAGATCATGGGCAAAACCAGGAAAAGTCCTCCAACTGATTTTATTTTACTTTTTATTTCTTATTTCTTAAAAAAACAACCAACCAGGTTGCTCTGAGGTAAGGAGAAACAAAGTCATGAGACCTGCCTGACCTGTAGCTCCCAATGGTGGTTCCAGCTTACTGGCTCCTCCCTCAACCAACTGCCATCTCAGGCTACTGGCTGTGGGAGGGTGGGAGAGAGCAGATGAAAGAGCCTATCTTCAAATAATCTGAGAAAGCGCCAGGAAATGATCAGGCGGAAGCATATATTTAGACATCAAACTATCCTGTGAGATGCGTGAAAGGCAACAACTGCAAACGAACTTTTTTTTAACCATAGCAACCTTGTGTATTCTTAGTGTTTAAATTATCTTTATGGTACACTGCATGGATAAGTGATTCATAACACAGCCAATAAAATAAGTTTCTTCCAGTTTTCAGAAACTTTAAGCAGGGCTTATCCAGTAGATCGTAAAGGAGAGGGAGAGAGTTCAACAGGGGCTCTCCTAAGATATACCGGACCCAGACTGTATAGGAGTTGCCAATGCGATGCCTTCCAGGTATTGTGGACTACAATTCCCATCATCCCTGACCATCTGCCATACTGACTGGGGCTGATGGGCCACAACATCCCTAAAAAGACTAATAGAAGAAAACATAGTTCCAGAACATACACTGTCAAAACTAAACCAGGGAGGTGCTATATAGCTGAGTGAGGGTTTGGGGGCAAGTTGGGACATTTAGAATAGGTGTGGGGAACTACAAATCCCATCGTACCTAGTAGCCATTGACTGTACTTGCTGGGGCTGATGGGAGTTGTAGTTCAGCAACATCTGGAGGCAACACACCTGCCTTAGATCCATACCCCCTCACTCTCTAGCACGCACACACCCCACCGCCCCACTGACTCTACTCATACCACAAAATCCACCCAAAGGAAGCAACTGTTAAGGAAGCCAGCTTCAATCAGCAAGAGTTACACCTGGTAGAAGCCATAATAAAGGTAAAGGTAAAGGTACCCCTGCCCGTACGGGCCAGTCTTGCCAGACTCTAGTGTTGTGCGCTCATCTCACTCTATAGGCCAGGAGCCAGCGCTGTCCACAGACACTTCCGGGTCACGTGGCCAGCGTGACAAGCTGCATCTGGCGAGCCAGCGCAGCACACAGAACGCCGTTTACCTTCCCGCTGGTAAGCGGTCCCTATTTATCTACTTGCACCCGGAGGTGCTTTCGAACTGCTAAGTTGGCAGGTGCTAGGACCGAACGATGGGAGCGCACCCCGCCGTGGGGATTCGAATCGCCGACCATGCGATCGGCAAGTCCTAGGCACTGAGGTTTTACCCACAGCGCCACCCGCGTCCCCAGAAGCCATAATACTCTGCATGAAAACAGAATTTTAAAGCCACAACAGTGCTAAAAGACAAAAGAGGCAGATTCATTTTTGCCAAAGGGATACTAGAAGACAGAACTAAACTGACAGCTAGCTCCATATATACTCCAAACTCAAAACAACAGGATAGAAAACACAACCTGAAGAAAGAGACAATGCATGTGTTTTATAAACGAGGAAAGTCATTTTTAAAAATTATGCATATATAACATACGAGTGGCTCTTACTACCTGCCATAAGTCAGAAGAAATGTTAAATAATACTTGGTTTGTGCGGACTAAATGCGTTCATTCAGGGTAGCATACCTGCAACAGGCCAGGGATAATGTCTTGAAGAAGTTGATGCAAAGACTCCTTTGAGATCCTCTCTATGACTTTAGTTTGCATTTTAATAGCAGCCAGATTGATTGGATAGTCAGCTGTCTGAATGATGGGGCACAGCACTTTGATGCACTGCTCAGGGTGGATGGAGCTGGCCAGAGTGGAAGCGGCTTCCTCAGCAGCTCTCACAACCTAGAATTTGGGGAGGGGGGAGAGAGAGATTTACATTTTACAGATTAGTACTGCACAGAAAACCCATACATTTCTATATCTAAAACTTAGCATGACCCAGCAGTCCTCTAGAACTAGGTTTTTGTACTGATGTTAGAGACTGCGTTTTGAATCTACACACGTAGTAGATTGGTGATAGTCACAAAATGCGGTTTTCTGTATTGCCCCAACTGCAATAAAACATGTCTCTCTTGTATCGGTCTCTACAGCCACAGCAGGTGTTGTAACTCTTGAATGGTTTGAGTTTACTCCTGATGACACTCTTGCCTTGCGTCTTGAGACACACAGTTGCCGACAATGCTAGACATGGCAGGACCTTCCCAATTTTTTATTTTAATGCTTATGAAATGTACCAGAAGAAACAAACACTGCAGGATAATGTATAGCTGAAGGTAGCATTAAGAAGAAAGGTGGACCTCACAGCTTTCTGAAGCCACTGACTTACTCTGTATTTTGGGGCTTGAAGACAGCCCCAGATATGCTCTGCGTAATGAATTGAAAGTATTTGTTATGTGACTGTTTGAGGAAAAGCAAATTAAGTTTAGGTATCTTTATGAGACAAAATGATTTGTTTGATCCATCCTCTCCACATCTGAAGCAAATTTATTAGGCTGTATGATAAAATAATGTATGATAAAAAGAACCAATTATGGTTTCAGATATACACGAATTTGTTCAATATTATATTTTCCTCAAGTTAAGATACCAGACCTTTTAGTACCAGTGTGTTTTCCTGCACTGTCACACTGTAACATGGTTAATATAATTCTAAGGCTGTATATACATTTATTCTGTACATGTACATTTCACTGTATAACAACTAAGATTGTTTGCCACACAAATAGGACAAAGTAATATGAAGGTTTAATGACTGTACATGCATTTTTTTGCTTAAGAAAGTGCAGACTGTTTGGTATATGTTTAAGATTTCGCAAAAATACACATTAAAAATAATTAAATATTTTGGTAATTCAGATATCTATAAATACCCATTCCTGTAAGTATGACAGGTACATTCATCAGAAACAATGGCACCCGTAATTTTTACAAGTGACAGAACTGAAATATTTGACTTGCTTTTTACTTTTAAAAAGGGCAACTATTTTAGCAAATTCCACCAGTTCAACATGAAGGTGAAGTGAAAATCCATAATTCTATAGGAAAAAGGAATTGGAGGACTGATTCTCACCCACAAAAGGTACAACTAAGCTAAACATACATACTGAGCTCTTCAGTACTGAGTCTATATCTACCTTTCTTTGCACTTTCCACAACTGTAATGAATACAACCACCCACAAGATATGCCTGCACACATCTGAACACATACATTGAATTCTGGAGCGGGGTGCATGTCTATACTTATTGATAGCTCAAAAGTTGGTGCTTTATATATTCACAAATGCACACAAGTGGCAATGAGAGCATAAGAGTTTGAAGCAATTTAAGCACTATACATAATTTTGATACTCTGTGACACAATTGTAGTCACCTTTTTTAGACAAAAAGGGGAAAAACCGGCGGAGAAAGCTTTGGGAGATGACAAGCTTTCCCACTCACTTGTGGAGGTGATTTGGGGAAGAAGAAGGGGGGGGACCCAACAAGGGCACAGAGTCAAGGTGAATCAAAAAGAATGTGTGCTTGGGAGATGCCTGCCAATAAAGGCACTCCTTCAGAACAAAATGTTTTGTCCAGCTGCTTTATCTGGAAATCAGTTTACAACTGCTGTTAAATGCTGTTACAAAAAAATGAGTGTCATGTGGAGACTCTGGTTCCAAGAAAGTGTAGTACAGACATGCTGATTTATTAAACGGATTAAATATTTTCTGGTCCTCCTTTTTAAGACAGTCTTTACACATTTTGTTCCCATGTTGCTTGCTTAACCGGATAATGCCACCTTGTGCTTCAAGCTATAATCCTGCACGGGTTACATGGCTGTCTCCTGTAGCCTGGTTTGCCTATTACTCCCATTTTGCGGCCAAGAATCCTATTCCCACCCCACCCCCCATTTCTCTATAAAATGCCTCAGATGTAACTTTAAAGTAACCCTACAGTACACAGTTGTACTCAGAGTTGACCCCCTGCTATTAATCTCCATTAATTTCAATGAGTCTACCCTGAGTAGTATTAGCATTAACCGCCACCCATTCTATTTTAATACTTTTCCTTGGCATTTAGGTTCCTGTCTACTACAATTCATTTTATGTAGAACAGGCACAGAAATATCTGTCAGCCTTTGAAGTTAAGCTTTGACCATTAAGAGGGCTGAGATGAGTCTCTTGCCAACAAGACCTAGACAACAGAGCTTCTCCAGCAGCAACAAAACAGCCACCTCACCTCTTTGTGAGAATCCTTATGTGCTTCCAGAGTCTTCATGATAGTTAGTTCAGCATAGTTCTTAAACCTTGCAGGCTGGTTTCTCAAGATTTCTCGCAACACCCTCAGTGCCAAGGCTCTTATTGAATGCTAAATCAAAAGAAGAAGCACATGTTGGAGAAGAGAACATTTAGTTTTTCAAAATGACTAGCATAAAGTGTGTATTGCTAGGACTGGCACAGTTTCTATTTTGGGGAGAAATCTTTTAGACCAAGAAAAGGGGAGCATTAGGGTTATGAGGCACTTGCTTAGCAATGAGGATCCCTCAAAACCACACATCATGGGTCTCAACTCATTTGCAAAATTCAGTTATATATCTGAGAACTAGGTAAATGCTACCTAACAGTGAGCAATTTATATGCAGAATTATTATATTCTGCTTCTGTGTCTGTTAACCCCCCCAAATTTAAAACATTTGAACAAAACACAAAAGAATTATAATCCATAACACTGGGTGGGTGGGGAATAACTTGACTTTTCATGTACCTTTTAGTTTCTGAGCTGTCACCATGCTCTTAAATGTATTGACTCAAGTATAAGAGGCAGATTCTGTTTTAAAATGAAGGCTGGGATTTTCTAGATTCTATATTCTGTGGGTCACTTTATCTCAGCTACCCATTGTTGAGAATCTCAAGAAGAGATATGCAAAGTTCTGATCCTGTATGTTTCTTAAATGCATGTTAATACCAAAAATAAAATCCAACACATTGCCTACTGAAATTCAGTTAAGATAAGTTTGTACTCCTCTTGTCTCACTGCATTCAGAAGAGCTACAACTATTGTTAAGCATAGCAAACCCAAGTACTGTTCTATTTTATATTGCAATAAATCTATCCAGCATTTCTATCACAGTTCTTGTCATTCGGTGTACTTCCACCCCAGCCTTGCCATTTACTGATGTTACAAACAAGAATACTAGGAACAACTGCTCTAGTTATATAACTGTTGAGTTATGCGTTTGGATGACGGCCATTCCAAACAGTGCCTACGGTTTCAACAGAGGAGCACTGAGCTTAACTTGCTCCTGGCTGAACTTTTTCAGTACATCCTGATGCTTTGAGTATTCACCTGCTCAGTTCACAGGCTAGAACATGACTCATACCCTGAATAAATCTTCTGACGCATCTATGACAACAATAACTGGTAGACACTAATAGCAAACAATAACTGGCATGCAACAAACTGCTGCTTTCAGAATAATAGTTTGATGGCATTTCAAACAGGTAAAACCATGGGCACTACTTCAGATAAAAAGGTAAAAGGTAAAGGTACCCCTGCCCATACGGGCCAGTCTTGCCAGACTCTAGGGTTGTGCGCCCATCTCACTCTATAGGCCGGGGGCCAGCGCTGTCCGCAGACACTTCCAGGTCACGTGGCCAGCGTGACAAGCTGCATCTGGCGAGCCAGCGCAGCACACGGAACGCCGTTTACCTTCCCGCTAGTAAGCGGTCCCTATTTATCTACTTGCACCCGAGGGTGCTTTCGAACTGCTAGGTTGGCAGGCGCTGGGACCGAGCGACAGGAGCGCACCCCGCCGCGGGGATTCGAACCGCCGACCTTTCGATCGGCAAGTCCTAGGCGCTGAGGCTTTAACCCACAGCGCCACACGCGTCCCCCTACTACTTCAGATACTTCATATCAACTGAGTAAACGTTCAGTGGTGAAGTGCTAGTGTTTCAGTTTTTATTTTGTGGTGTAGGCCAGGGGGTGGGGGAGATGGAAACCAGCCGGCATAATATTGAATGCTGTCAGTTATTTGCCTGTGAAATGTAAGCCAAGGGCCTTTGTAAGTTCAGACCATATCCTCAAGTGCAACAAACTAAAGTCTGGCTACCTTTGGTTTACCTAGTTGCTGTATTATACTGCTGTCAAGGCAAGCTGGGTGACACCACTACATTTTGCTCAACAACTAAGAAATGATTCCATTGATTGCTTTGGTACAGTGCTCAGAAACCCAAAGGCGATTGGTAAGATGTGATGACCAAACTGAAAATTTCAGAGGCTGGAATGTCCACTTCCTCTCATAAAACAAGAAAATAGAACGAAGGATGATGAAGTTTCTATTATTCTATTTGTTTCATCATCTCATTCTTGCAAACTGACCTGGTGGCTTTGCTGAAGGGCAGGATAGAAATCTTTTAAACAAATGAAGTTATGGCAGTAGCAACTGTGTTCACCCACAAGGGCAACAATGATCACACAGTGCTTTTAAAAGGCATGGCTATTCCTTAGTGCTAGCATCCATGTTCATACTGATCTGCCCCTATTCTCTCAGCTTCCTATCTAGTTGTGTGGGCAGCTCCAGGTCTGAGGGAGCCCTGGGTAAAATGCCCTCTGATGGGATCGCCTCCTCCAAAAGGCTTACTTGGCAGCAGGGGTGGCAACCAGAAAGGTGCGCAGCAACGCTGGGGGCTGCCATTTTGATTTCACATCTTGCCCCAGAATGAGGCTACTTTGTAGGCATTACAGGAAATTTAAACAGCAGCGAGACTCAACTGTCCAGTGCTGCTCAGAACACATGGATAATTTTTTTTAAGGGGGTGGGGGGTGGAAACCAGATTTGGACCATTTTTTTAAAGCAGTCTGAGGTATTCTGGAGAAGCCTGTCCAAAGCAGCTAGTTCCAGTTTCTTTGAATTCCTGGGAAACATTAATGATAGCAAACCACCACAGTATTGCCACTCCATCTAAACAATAGCCACATATAAAGGGAAAACATCACCCTTTGGCACCATTTGCTGTAGAAAATGTGTGTCACCTGAAAGATCCCTAAAAGATATTGGATCCTATGTTGATAGCTTACATCTTTGTCTCCAAGCGTTTCCAGCAATAACAGCAAAATGGTCTTGAAATGCTCCTCCCAAACTCCTAGGTTGTCTTCCCTTGTAATCTTCAGTAGCTCAAAAAGGGCCCCTTTCCGTTCTTCTACCCGCTCATTGTGGTTGGATAACTCTTTTAAAAGATCAGCTACCAAATCAGAATGATCAATGGGCGCTAAGAAGGGAAAAGGAAAAGCACAATGAGGACAAATCAGAACCTACTGCTGCAAATGGTTGAGGATGAGACAGATTCACATTGTTTCTTCACAGCGTCTATAAATATGATTTATCTCTCATCCTTTGGCTACAATACACGTTGATCTATAACATTAACATACTTAGGGAGCAATTCAGTGTTGTGGTTGCAAATGTTCTTCTGTCAGTGCAAACCATTCTGCTAGCCTGATAGAATAATCTCCCCTCTCCTTCCACTTTGAGCTGTTCTGGGGATTCATCAAGTCAGACCATTGGTCCATCCATCTTTGCACTGCCTACAATGGCCCTAAGAGGCTGTTCATGGTTTCAGGCAGGAGTCTCTCCCAGCCCTAGCTGAAGATGTGAGGGGTTGGCTCCACAATGTTCTGCATGCAAAGCTTGTGCTCTATTACTGAGCTATGGCCCTGACTCAAACACACACACAGACTGCTGTAGGCTCCAGCCTCCAGGTACAGTCTCCAGGCTCATGATCCCGACTATTTAAGGATGCATTGTCTCCCCCTCAAGTTCATGTGCTGAAGCTAAAACACAGAGATGGAATACAGGTCTACTACCAGGGGCTGCCAGAAAATGTGAAATGGCTCTAATAACAATGACATTCCTGTCATTCCCACCCCATCAGCCTTATCCTGTCAAAGTGATGAGGGGGAAAGACTGTAAATGTTAAAGCAAACACTAAGTTTACCCAATGAACATATTCATATTATAGTTTTAAAGACTAGGATTTCCCAATTAATAGTTTCCTATTTCATATTATTCATTGTCTTTGCATATTCTAGCAGAGATGAGCTAAGAGGTGATGGAAACTGAACTCAAGAAGCAAGTTCCAGTACATTTCATCACCAATTAAATAGGAATATTCATATTTTAAAGCAAGAATGGGGATCGTCCAGGAATTTAGAAAACAAAAACAAACCGTCCCGAAGCTGATCAATATCGTCATCAAACACCGCCTCTTTAAGGGCACTCTTGTCATAGGCGCTGATAGTATCCGAGTGTGGGTAAGGGTTATACTCCCGGGCTCGGGGTCCCGAAAATGCACGCGGGGGCTGGGTGTTGAGTAGGGAAGTTTTGTTATCAAGAGCCATCCTTCCCCCTTCCACAACATCACTGCCTCCACGCACATCAGTGGCTGGTGAGGCTAAGCAGCCATCTCGAGAAACCTGTGGGAACAGGGAGAACAAGGGCAATTAAGACTAGCAAGACTTACATTAGATGCAGTTACTAAGATCGCAAAGAGAGCAAAAGCTGCAAGATTTGACTCCTGAAGTTCAATGCTAAGAAAGGGCATTGGATTATCAAAGTCAAACGGCGTGAAAATATTTTCCCTGTAGGAAAACTATTCAAAATCACGACATTTTGCTAACCATTTTCATCAACATCATTCTTTCATCTCCCCAGAAGCCTACTTACAATGTCACTGTCCTTCTTTCCATCACGCTTGATTGGTTCATTTAGATCTTCTTGGCTGCGGAAACTAAACTTTTCAATTGCTTCTGTGACTCCACGAAGGGAACTGTAAATTTCATCAGAATTTAAGTTCTCTGTGTCGTAATCCAACATGCTGAAGATCAAACACATACGGAATGTTAAAAACGAAGAGTGGTTTTCTTGATTTTGATCTATAATATAGCCCACTTGGGGACACATGATTCAGCTTCAAAACTTATGCTAACTTTCACAAGGCATGAACTCAGGACCCCAAAACAGGGATTCAGAGGTTGGCTGTGGATGGTATAAACCTGGCAAACATAAACTAAGTATTGACTGTGATACTACATTTATATGGCGAACATGAATACTCAACCAGCCCTTTCAGTGAAGCAATTTCACTGTATATTAGAAATAATTAAAAGTAATAATTTCAGCCAAAATTTAAACAGCATTATCTCATACTACCATCAACCGAAAGGCACATCAAAATCAATTATTTCTATATGAAGTTTGATCATTCTAGCATATGTAGTCAATCCTAGTTCCAAATAAATGAAGTATGGTAAATGGTTAGTAATAAAAATGCACATCGGTGATAATGGAAACTGAAAAGTTTATGGCACCATGGACAATGTATGAAATACACAAACCTAGTTTTTGGGCTTTTAATTGTGCTTTCCAAGAAACCAAAGTCAAATTATCTAAATTAACATAAATTGATTATATCCAGAGGAAAGCTAGTTTAACCTAAATTTTAAGCTGGCTTAAGTCTATTACTACCATAACTGGAGTATCAGATATGAAACAGCTTCCCTTTGGCCCAACTGGATACTTGATCATCTTTGGATCATCCAGATCTGTCACAGGTAGCCCAGTGTGATCACTGATGCCAATGCAGTTTGCGTCAATATAATACTTGGAATGGATTTATGCAAGAAATGTGGGGAGCTATCAGCAAAGCCCTGCTTTTCTCTAATGCTCACTGGGAACTTTGGCCCCAAATACCAGAGTATATGTGACTGAATATTACCAGGGACACCGGCAGACCACCATTCCATATAAAAACCCTGTAACTATGAATATCATTTGAAAGCAGGGCACACTGGTGGTTGCAATCTTACATTGCAAAGCAAGGCAAGGGAAATGACCTTCCTGCAATCCTGTTGGTGTGAACTAAGTCATCATTTTGTTTAGCATGCCATTTAAACCTTGTCTCATGGCTTGTCTCACTTCATACAAGCCATGATCTGTAACCAGATCATGTTCTTGGGCTTTTAGTTCACGGTTTGTCTGGAGTGCGCGAAACAACCAGTCCAGGTTCAGATGACACACTAAGCCAAACCATGGATTAGCTCACAGTAGTTGGACCAGGCACAGTGACCACTATGCTGTCCTCTTCGTGTTGTGTGTGAACCAGCTATGTACAATGACTCTTGGGCTGGAGACTATTCATTGCTAAAATGAAAAGAATGAGAACTGAATCCCATCGTTTCCAAACAGGGGTGAAAGATGGCAATTTTCTCTCTGAACTGGTATGCCTCAACTTAGGAAAGATATAGAGCCAAACTAGACATGATGGGGAAAACATTCATGGGTGTGCGCTGTTCACATATCAAGCAGAGTGTACATGTATTCATTTTTTACAACAAGAAATGCACATGGGCAAAGGATCTGAACCCTAGCTCCCCCTCCCCCACTTTACCTGTGTTTCCAGTCAGGGTTCAATAGAAGATGCTTTATATAAAGATGGGGGCAGCACTGTGAATGAACAAAAGTGTCTGCCCCCTTCACATATAGTGTAGTCCAAAGAAATGTGCCTGAAATAAAGAACTGGCAAATAGATTCTCCCATCACATATTACCTCTGCTGAATGGATGTTTCGCAAAATGGAAACATATTTTGCCTGGCACCTCACCAGAACAACGTTCTGGTTTCAGCAATTGACAATTGTCTAGAAGTTTCTCTTCCTGGAAGGGATTCAAAGAACTGCGGACCAAAGACAAGATTTATGTCTCCTGAGTTCTCTGGGCTTCATGAATACTGGGAACAGATACAATCCTTGGACCTCTGTCAATGCCCTAACTCTGCAACACCAGCCCAAGTAGCACTACCAGAACTGAATGTCCATGGTGTGTTTTGGCAAAGCAGGCATAAGGCAACACCTAATCTCTGAACAAAGAAAAACTTGGAAGGAAGATCTGCCAGTGGTGGTGGAAAAACAAACAAATATGAAAGCCCTTTCAACTGCACTGTCAGTTTCAACTACACCATCAGTTTCAACAACATAATTTTCAACCACTTGAAAATGTGATTGTAACTCACTGATAAGAAGATACATAAAAGTTACATTTTTTGCAAAAGAATCAATTTCCTTACATTCTGAAAATGGCAAAAATAAAGGGCTTCTCGTCCTGGCATTGTCTACACCACCCACAGTGAAAGTCTTGCTAGGATGATTTTGTGGAATGGTTGAATCTAGGATTTACCTATAATAGCACTTGCATCGTTATTCTACCCAGTCTACCACAAAATCAAGTTCTCTCTCTACACCAGTTATTTCTCTATCATATTCAAATGTGCCACCATTTCCCGTGTTCTGAAAGAATTGCTCATTCTGTAACCAATCTTCCTTCCATCTTTTACCTCCAAAGTCTTGAAACGTGCTATTTGCTCATGCAGTCTCTACACCATCTCTCTCTAACCAGCAAAACTGAAGGTCTCTGGATTCTTGCTGCGTATACACCACACATTTAAAGCACACACTCAAAATCCTGATTGCTATACTTGTTAAGAGTGCAGGGAATAGAAGGGATGTGATGGATAAACTATAGTTCCCAGGATTCTTTGAGGGTAGGAGTATGCTATAAATGCATGGTGTGTACACAGCCTTTGACCTTACCTTCCTTGATTTATGTTGCCTTTCATACAGCTGATTGCTTCTCTTCCTACCCATCACAACTTTTCAGCAGCATCCCTTCCCCTTTTCTTGGGACTTTTCTTAATCTCTCTATGTTCTGGCTTTGGGCAGCTTCATCAAATTGTATGGCATTCAAACATAGACTCACTTTCCAGATCTCTACTTCCTTCATCCAGTCCCACATCTCTAAGGGCTTGGGCATTCAGTGCTTAGATTTCATTGGGCTTTCACAAGCTCACTATACCCAAGGCTGCTCTACACCCAAGACCCCAACTACCACCTTAATATTAGAGGTTACCGTCCACACACTTTCACTGTGCAGACACTGGTGGTTAGGTAAAACCTCTTTTAAACTGTTTAGCAGAGTTTATCTTCTTTCTCTCTCACGGAAGTCATGAACAATGACAAAGTTGTTGTTTCAAAGATGACGCACAAACTCTGTGAAGTCTCAGTCAAGAGATAATTAATAATAATAATAATAATAATAATAATAATAATAATAACAACAACAACAACAACAACAACAACAACCCCGCTCATCTGGCTGGGTTTCCCCAGCCACTCTGGGCAACATCCAACAGAACATTAAAAACAGAATAAAACTTCAAACATTAAAAACTTCCCTAAACAGGGAAGATTTTATTCCCAGTCCGGGTACAAGCATTACGATAGCAATATATATTTTCAACTGTTAACATAAACAGCAATTAACAGTACACTTTCAAACAAAAGTCTTGTCTTATCTCCAGCACCTCATAAATTACAGGAACAGGCATATGCAAAAACCAAACCAAGTGGTCTTCTTATTTGCACTTCTAGCTGATGCTAATTAAGCTCAGAGTGCCACTCCCATACATTCAAGGAAAAAACTCTGGAACCTTCTAGAAATTTTCTACTTGTTACTGGCACAATGATTTCTTAACACTTAGCTCCTCCAACTGTAGCATCTTTAGGTCTCTAATTTGAATGATTTTTTCATCCATTCTCATATATGGCCCATGATCAAGTCATGGATGGCAGTGGTCTTATGAATCATTGACCTGGCATTGCACAGCAGCACCTTCAGGTCATATGGGTATCCCTTGTTGATTCCAGTATCCGTCCAGTCAAGACCAGACCCAGTGGCAGGGATAGTCCTCAAACAACGACTAAACCTGCCTCCTCGGTAATGACATGGTCTGGTCTTAGCGTAACTCCTCCTCCTGCCCATGATCACTGAGATCGGTTGTCCCAGTGCACCCCCCCCCCTGTGGAACCTGCCCCAGCCATTTTGTTGGCTCCCAGGCAGTCCTGATCCCTCCCCTTAAAATCAAATTAAAACCTATACAAAAAACAAAAACCAATAAAAACCAAAAACAGTAAAAGTTACAAACATACCAAAATTAAACAACTTCCCAAACCCGACTAAACATCCATCCCACCCCCCAGGCCTCCTTGGAGCCTTATACGCTGTGGCGGTGAGTATGGGGCCTGCCCCCAGGCCCAAGGTGGAAAATGGGCTTTAAGGGGGAGCGGTCCTCCCCAGTACTCACTGGCAGAGCTGCAGCAACAACAACAAAAGACAAGCCTGCTGGATCAGGCCAGCATCCTGTTCTCACAGTGGCCAGCCAAATGCCTATGGGAAGCCTGCAAGCTGTCTACGAGAGCAACAGAACTCTGCACACCTGTGATACCCACCAACTGGCGTTCAGAAGCATAATGCTTCCGACAGTGGAGGCGCAACACAGCCAGTGTGGCTAGCAGCCACTGATAGCTTCATTCTGCATGCATTTGCCTAGTCCTCTTTCAAAGCCATCCAAGTTGGCGGCTGCCACTGCCACTTGTGGGAGCCAGTTCCATAGTTTAACTATGCTCTGTGTGAAGAAGTAGGCTACCTCCCTTCCCCTTCCAGCTGTAGCTAAAAATCCACTCCTTCTGTGACGTTTCTGGTATAACACCCCCCCATAGTCACAGAGTACATAGAAAACTTAAGAATAAGCAACTGACACCCACTCACACGCATCCTTTGCAACTCTTGGCTCTCCTCTTTCTGCTTATGTGCCTCTCTCCCTGTTGTTTCCTCCTTGGGTCTAAATTTAGATTATAAGCCTCTCAGGGCAAGGCAGGATTTTTGTTTATAGCATTCTATACTGTTGCACATGCACGCAATAATAGCCTGCATCTACTGGAAACACTATTTGCATCAGTTCGTTTATTAGTCTGTTGAGAATAAAAGTGGGTGGGGTGACATTATTTTAGAAGTAGGGCTTTTTTAAACAAGGTTGATGTTGGCTATTAAAACAAACAAACCACCCCTACTAACACTTAGTAGCTAAAGCAGCTCATAGAGTTAATTCAGACAGAGTTTCTATTCTAAAACAATAACATCTGTGGAGCACAGTTACACAAATGTGTGGGTTATGTCATACAACTTGTATCATGGAATGGAATTTTATCTGCAGCCTTAAAATATCAGTGGCATCCAAAATCCACAAGGGAAGAACCTATTTTTATAACCTAAGAATGAATCGTTACAAAATAGCCAAAGGAAGAGAGAAGGAAGGAAGAAAAGCAATTTCTAGAATATTGTTTTTTTAAGAGTAACCACATGTGCAATAAAATACATTTAGGCAGTACAGGAATTGTATGATACACAGATAACACGAGGAGAGAGAAAAAGAAGTGCAAGATGGAACAACATCCATTTACAAAGAACAAATATATCCCATCAATCATACAAGATAGAAAACAATGATTCATGCAGAAAACTGGAAGAATTACAAAGTGAACAAAGAGATGAGGAGAAATGCGTGGCTTTTACAGATGTCACAATATTATTTCCCAACTGCCACAGCCTCCAACAAACACAGTCTTTAGGATTCAGAGCTCACCAGTTTCTGGAGCTTTTAACATTTTCCCTAAAGTTAACCAGGATTGGTCCCTAAGGTGAAGGAGAGTTCTTCTAAATATCAACAATCCCCCTCTCTTTCTCTACAGGCTGACAGAATCTAGACCTGTGTGAAAATCCTCATTCCCATTTTCATATCCATTGCTATTCATATTCCTAGCTGTTGCCTGTGAATGTATCATAATGGCAAATAGAATGATCTGTCGTACAGTACTACTGCAGTCTTTGCCCAGTAAACTAATTGGGAATGCAATCTATCTGTTCCAGTGTTCTCATTGTTCAATTATTCTGCAAGGAGAGCTGGATGCTTATAGAAACCTTGGAAGCTGCCTTATACCAAGCCAGACCATTGGCTCCATCTAGCTCAGTACTGTCTACACTGACTGGCAGCAGCATCCCAGGGTTTCAGACAAGGGACTTTCCCAGCCCTAACTGGAGATGCCATGGATTGAACCTTGCGCCTTCTGCACAGAGAGCACATGCTCTACCACTGAGCTATGGCTGTTCCCCAATTGAGGCAAGCATTCAGTTCAGTGTGTATCCTCAGAAAGCGGTGTAATTTGAGAGGAGACACTGTCAAGTTAAAAAGGGGGCTGAACAGAATGCTAATCTTACTTGCCTTGATCCAGCCAGAAGCTACTATACCCATGCTGAAGATGGGGAATAGTTTGTGCCGTTTCCCCAGCCTGCTCCAGCAGTGAGGGAGCCGCCGCAATCCCAGTTGGCGGAATCCCAGCTTTATTTACTGGGTTCCAATTTAACTGAGGCTAGTGACTATGCACAGACTATACAGCAGCTAGAGCCAATTCACATTTAATGCAGCAAAACAGTGCTTGCCTTTTGTATGGCAAATTGAATTGCGAAAGGGTGATATATACTTCTCCACAGATTGCAGAATACATGCCAGGAAGCCATGGCCAAGCTGGTTCATGTCATGACCAGCATGCCTAAGATGCACAGACATTTGCCCCCACCCACATCAGGATACACACAGCAAACATGCCGTGTAACGTGTGATCCAGCCCCTATGTAACCAAGTGAATACTGATTCCCGGTGCAGCTGAAAGACTAGGAAGCACAACACTAAATGCAGAGAGACAACATGGTATTTCCCAACACCGCCCAATGATGCCAGCAACTCATCTATGTTTCAGTTACGTTCCCCGTGCTTCTGGTGTTCTGGGTGGTTTATCGCAAGACTCTACCCCAGGCTTTACTGCACAACGGGGAAGTGGGCTAAGGTGTGTTACCCTGGGAAACTTGCTTGCCTGACGTTGCCTTTACTGCAGTGCTTCCAGCAGAAGGAATGAAGGAAGAGATAGGAATGGTTTCTGACAATTCGGTGTGGTGGCTGAACAGGTAAAGCTTCTGGAACTGAGAAGTGGAGATTTCTCCACAGATAAAAAGTAGAAAGCAAAGAGCTGCTGCCTGTCTCTGCCTCTCCAAGACCTATCTGTTTGGAAAGCACCCTACCTGAGACAAAAGGTAAATAACATTGTGACACCTCAGACAAGATGGATTAACAGGTAGCTTGTTACCTGGGAGAGTAAGAGCGCCTGAAAGTCTTGTGAGGAGGAGCAACGGGGATGGAGTTAGGCTGAAAAAGGGGAGGGGGGTGCTTCGACAGCCCATCTGCACTCCAACCCCAGAAACGACTGCAGTGATCACAGGAAGAAAAGAGAGAAAGGGAGGAAGAAAAAGAAAAAGAAAAAAGGAGAAAACAAAACTATAATCTGAGTGGCTGAGTCTTTTCATGCTTTCTCAGCAAGAGAGGAACTTAATAGAAACAAACCGGACAGAAACACTCCGTGTAAATATGTTGTTATTCAGTAATATCTTTAGTATCAACCAAAGTTGTTATTTAAGGATTTCAGGACAGTCACTGTGTTGTTTCTGTTTGCGTATTTCACAATATAGACCCAGGATGCTATCCTGCAATTGAAATCAGTGAAAATTTGGCCATTGGCTTTCTCTGGAAGTGGTTTTCAATTGTTCACCTAATATTAAAATACTGAGGTGATTGCTGTTCTGAATATGCATCTGGAACAAATTCACCTGGGTAACAGAATGTAGGCTCCAGAAGGGCTTCACAACTAGCCAAGTGCTTGATGGTCACCAGGTCTGATGTACACATTCACAGATGGCCTGGCAGCGGGAGGAATCTTATAATCCATTTTCCCAATAAAACTTCCAGGACAGTGTTTCTTCTTAGCATTATAGCTATGTCTCTGGTCCTCTGACTGAATACTCATATGAACAGTAAATACTTGTCATCACTGGCAAGTTCTTCTTCGAACAAAACCCACAGTTCCTCCTAATCCACCCCATTTCAGCACATTTTAAAAAGACACCTTCCAAATTAGCAGGTCTACTGTCAGACTGAAGGAGCTTTCACTGATGACTTGTGACTCTAGTTTGAATGGTAATTGCTTCTGTGGCTTCTTCATTCATTCTTCAAAGCTACTGCTCTTCAAAACATAGAAGCAAAAAGATGTTCTTATCCTTCTGCCTCCTATTAGAGTGGTCTACATTCTGCTTTCCATCTCCACCCAATCAACTTTTGCTGACTAAACGTAGTTTTTTGGGCTGAGTTTTCTCATGCATGTTCTGATGATTCATTAAGGTTTTGAGAAGACTAAGGCTGCAGCCCAACACCATTGAACTCAATGGGATTTTTGAGTAAACATGCATAAGATTGCACTGCAAAGCCAATATGCATTTCCATCTTGTGTGATTTAAAAGTTAAAAGGCAGGAGAGAGGGAGATTCAGTACAGATGGAAAATTCCTGTTCTCCTAACTATAGTTGGGAGATTGCAAGGACCTCGTGGGTTCAATCACCCTCCTTCTCTCCTCATTTTTCCTTTTCAATTTCCCTCTCCTTTCTGTTTTCAAATTGTAGTTTCAAACCTACAGTGCATATTTTTCAATAATAATAATAATAATAATAATAATAATAATAATAATAATAATTTATTACTTATACCCCACCCATCTGGCTGGGTTTCCCCAGCCAATCTGGGCGGCTTCCAATAGGAGATTAAAAATACATTAAAAGCCATGGTTCGTTCTAAGTCAAGCATAGTTAGGAGTGGTGTTAGGTTAACATTATCACAATGTTCCAGCCTGGTCTCCTAGACATTTATTAATGATCACAGAGATCTGTCAGGTCAGAGAAGGCTAGATATGGAGCCCGCAATCACTGCTAGAACCTAACATCTCAGGACATTTCCTTCTGGAGTTGCTGGAATATTCAATCCGTCACTTTGTTTCTATTGAGTTTTAAATACGTTATAAAGGTAAAGATCACATTGGTGTATGAAAAATGCTACAAGACTGGAAATGGGAAGTCAGAAATAATTCTATTGCATGTCACAGCAGTTTCTTTCTGAGCAGCAGAATAAGGAAAGTCACCCAAGAAAAAGAGATAAGAAGAGCAGTTATGCTTGTAGATACTGGTTCACAAAGAAGGAAAAGAAAGGGCAATAAATTCCGCAGATGCCAATCTCACCTACCTGTGAGGGAATCATCCAAAGTCATTCAATCCCAACTTTTGAAACACACACACACACACACACACAGAGAGAGAGAGAGAGAGAGAGAGAGAGAGAGAGAGAGAGAGTCCACCAATCCTGTCACTTTATAGCCATGCAAGTGAACAGGTTTATAATTCAAAAATACCACATCCTATCAAGAAAATAACATTTCAAACAGAAGAGGAATTATTTGTTAGAGTGTTCTCAGGCATTATCAGCCCCAAAGCATCTGAAAAATAATACAAGACGTTGATCTCACTACTACAAACCATTCATTCATTCATTCATTCATTCATAGTTCAAGGCTGTGTTCCTATGTCAACTTTCTGACCTAGGTGCAGGATTTTACTTTTCTGTCTGTTTTAAAACTCAAGGACAGCAGCATCAACAACAAAAATAAAAAACAGAACACAATTAGAAATAAATAAACAGTAAATAAATTCAAAAATGCAGCAAGCATTTCAGAGAGCTGAACATGAAAGCTACAAAAATGAACAGGAAAGCTACAGAAATGGCCAGAAATAAAAAGGAAATAATTGGCTGAATACCAGAAACCCCATCAGCCATGATTTTCTCTGCAACACCCTTGCTCTGCTTACTATCTAGCCAGATTAAGAGTTCTGGAGAACCTGAAAGTTTGCACATTGTTTGGTGATATTTTGGTTGCCTTAATAAAGGTATTGATCTAATATGTTTTTTGAATCCAGCTCAAAGATGTGCATCTACTGGTATGTGTACAGAATGGAACCCTCAATACAATGTTTGAGCTAAAGCATTGCCTTCTAGGCTCTTTACCTAATAGCAGAGTCACACTTAGAAATGTGTGTGGTTAGGAGAACAAGAACTGCATAGCCAAGTGACATCATGATGCAAATATCAACACTGTCCATTTTACTGATATCTAGCAATGGAAGTCTTCTTCAGTGCATCTATATTGCTTAAAATGTGCATCTTGGACAATTAAACTTTTTTGAAAATGTTTCTAAATACCGAGCTGCAACACTTTACTCTATGAGTGTATTGTGATGAACACTATGGAAGCAAACTATTTGGTCTCTAGTACAAATTTGGTGTCAATTACCTCAGGGCCCTTTATGACATTCGTGTGTTTTTAGTCTAAATTGTCCCTAAATTTTATTTCACTGGCAAAGGAGTATTATATGAACATCAAGAAGCTGGCTCTCCAGGGCCTCAGATGAGTGTTTTTAGGTCAGGAATCTTACAGATACCAGGAAATGAATCTGGGACCTTACGCATACGAAGCCTGCACTAAACCAATAAGCTATAGCACATCCCCTAATCTAAACATCAAGTATATTCAACCATGCCCTTTGCTTTCCCCGATCTAATCTGTCCCTGGCCTTTTTGCTCAAATCCTTGAAATATGCCATGCAGGTTCCTCAAGCTGAGGCTAGGCTCCTCAAGCTATTCAGCCTAACATGTCCTGAAGGTAGCACCTTTATTGCAGGAAAATCACATTTCCCCTTGTGGTTGCTGGGGGGGGGAGGAATAGGACCCCCCCCCCGAGATTGCAATTGTGATGACTACTATGTGGAATGTGACAGTACAGGTGTCACAGGAACCTAATGGCTAACGCATACAACAGTGATACTGTTCCTCCCTTCCCCCTTGATACCCATGCTATTGTGTTGTTTAAAACAAAGGTTGCATTTTATTAGTATTTTATTTATAAAGCTTTGCAGGGACTGTATCACTGTCCCCTGTATCACTCTAGCACAGGAACAACTTAGCGCAAGGGGTAGCCAAAGTAGTGCCCTCTGGCAGTTGCTTGGACTCCCAACTCCCATCCAAATGGCCAATTGGCAGGGATGATGGGAGCTGAAGTCCAACAACATCTAGAGGACACCATGTCAGCTCCTTCTGATCTATGTAGTCTACCCTTCTACTTCTGAAGTCCTCGTTGTGGCACAGGTGCTTGGTAATTATTTGTCAGCCTTTCAAGCCTGTGTGTTACCAGCTCCCCTGTTCTAAAATAGAAAAAACCAAACCCCCAAACCCAGGAAACAAAGTTACAGCTATCCCCTTCAGTGAGCATGGTGAAATGATTAGGGTGCTGGATTAAGACCTGGGAGAGAAGGGTTTAAATCCTACTCACCTGTGGAGGAGGAGTTTGGATTTGATATCCCGCCTTTCACTCCCTTTAAGGAGTCTCAAAGCGGCTAACATTCTCCTTTCCCTTCCTCCCCCACAACAAACACTCTGTGAGGTGAGTGGGGCTGAGAGACTTCAAAGAAGTGTGACTGGCCCAAGGTCACCCAGCAGCTGCATGTGGAGGAGCGGGGACGCGAACCCGGTTCCCCAGATTACGAGACTACCGCTCTTAACCACTACACCACACTGGCTCTCCTACACCACACTGGCTCATTGAATGATAGTGGGATAGGTTAATCTATCTCACAGGGTTATGGTGAATATAAATGTTGGGAAGACCTTGGAGGAAGGTGTTAATTTACTTCATGAGCGCAAATTATTACATGGTTGAGATAAGCCAACAGCAGCAGGGAAAGCCAAGCCAGCTGCTACAGCAACAGTCCAGTGCTGACTATATAAATGATTAAGGCATGTCAGCTCATCAGTCGGGGGAATTGTGCTGTAGTGTCAGGGTCAGTCTTGAGAAGTGAGTCAGAGTCTGTGTCACATCTTGAATTGCTGTAGCAACAGAAATACTTTCTGCTTGTGTACATATATATCTGCAAAAGCCTATACATGCTGCAGTAATCTATTGTGAACCTTAAGCTGCCTCTGTGTGGTGACTGGAACTGGGGGCAACTTTTGCTACGTGGTTATCTCACCTCAGATTCTCACCAATAGATTGGGGAGGTGGGAGCTGCAGCAACTTGAGCTCCTTGGAGGAATAATGCAATAAAAAGTAAAATAAAATACATTTTGAAGGCTATGCCATTAGATCAGGACATGTGCGTATAGTTTCCGCTAACAAAATTCTACCATGTTACACAGCTTTCATAATGTTCTCTGTTACAATGCACAAGGAACACACCCAGTCGCACCTATAGCTACAAGCAGTGTAACATCCTCTGATACGAACCTGATAATGCATTATTAAAATTCAATTGTACAGCGAAGTAGGAAAAAAAATATACAATACAATCCCCTTTACAGAAGGCTGTGATGTATACTTGAGCATGTGCATTTGTATGAGCCTATAGTTCAGTCTGCCACATCTATATTAGCTTTTAGACATCTTATTATAAACAAGCGTTTTGTACTCTGTGCAAAAGCTGTCATATAAGGACAAGTTTAGGGTTTTATTAAGGTACAGACACAAGCTTCGTTTCCTGACCCACTTTCAGAGCGGAGCAAATGTGTTACATATTTTCCTACATTGCCGCTTCTTGAGGAGTCACCTTTCAGGCATGTTTCACACAGAAAAGCCGCTCAGACACCTATCAATCTTTTTTTTAAATGAAGCTGCAGTATTACCTTGGGGAGAGTCCTCCATGAGAACAGTTGGTGGGTGAAGTTAAGGGGCTGGTTCTGCTGCTAGGGTGACGTGAAGGAGTTCGGCCAACAGTATTGCTAGGAGAACCCTAAGTGTACAAGCAAAAAAAGAGGATAAGGGGCAAATAACATGTGGCACAACAAGAAGATGAATAAATATGGAACCATTTTGTCCTCATTCATATAATGTGTCACTTAAATAGGATTAATTTTTCTAATTAAGTTGTTGGAATAAATGACTCCTGGGCTTGTGTTGGAACACACACACACACACATACATATACACAGTGCTTCTTTCTGGGGGGACACATACCCCTAAATATTTTGTGAATCTTTGTACTTTTGTCCATTTACTGTATTTATTTTTCCTGATCTGAACTATAAAATGGTGATTTTTTTCGAGTCAAAATGAGAGTACCCCTAAACATATTTTTTAAAGAAAAAAAGCACTGCATATACACATGCATATGTTCTAAATAAAATAAGCCAAGCTACTCCCCCCCCCCAAAAAAATTCAGAAGTAGATTGGCATATTTTTTTCAGGACAATCCAGCTTCAGAAATTGCCTACCACAATCCACCACTCTGCCCATTCCCCCACCTGACAGGAGTAGTGACAAACTCTGGTCTAGTTATGGAAGAGGGAAAGAGGAAGGTCTCTCCTCCTCTCTCCAGTGACTGGCCAAATGCCACTGCGTTTGCCCTTGGGAACTGCAGTTTTCCAACAGGACTATTCCAACATCAGTATCCTTTGGGGAAAACCCAAAGGCCAATGTGGTCTTTTGTCCTGGCATGCTGCTATGCAATGCATTAGAATGCTGGAGGAGGAGACTGCCCACCTCACCTGTCAATGCAAGTGGTGGAAGGTGAGGATAAGCTTCTTCTCCAACGTGGACTTTAACCTGAGCCAAATAATATAATTTGGCTCCAAAATCTTTACTGAGAAGGTTACCATTATGATCCCCTAAAGTTCACAGCCCTGCCTGGGCACCAACAAGCTTTGTCATCACCTCTGCTTTTTAGAAGCCATTCTTCAAAACCCAAGGCCAGGGATAGCCAATGTGATAGCCTTCAGGTGTCGTGGACTACACTTCCCATCAACACTGATAATTTGTCATGCCAGATGGGAGTTGTAGTCCATGTCTGAAACATACCAAATGCCACTGATCTAGACAATGCCAAGCTTCTTATAAAAGCTCACAACTAGTGAGCCCATATTTAAAGAAACTGAAAAAGCAGAAGTGCTTTATGTACAATTATGTACAATTGTATACCTACTTTGTCAAAAGGTATTTTTTGTACTACAGTCTAACCTTGGTTCCCGAACACCTCTGCTATTGTACGTTTCGGCTCCCAAATGCCGAAAATCCAGAAGTAAATGCTCCGGTTTTTGAACATTTTTTGGAACCTGAACATCCAACGCGGCTTCCGTTTGAGTGCAAGAAGCTCTTGCAACCAATCAGAATCTGCACCTCAGTTGTTGAACGTTTTGGAAGTTGGACAGTCTTCCGGAACAGATTACGTTTGACAACTGAGGTTTGACTGTATCCTGTAAAACAAATGCTGTGTGATTTTAGGGCAGAGCTTTAGCTCTGAACAGATCAACAGTAGGGCTGGGCAATGTTAGGTTTTCAACATCACGATGTCTCACCAGCCAAGCAACTTGCATTGGCCCCAGACGGCAAAACGCAGCACTTTCACCCCAGCGCCTCGCAGGCTGTGGACAATGCATCAGGCCCTGCTCAGCTGGGGGTGGGAGGGCTCCCCCCACCCAGCTGAGCGAGCCCCAACACCTCAGCAGCATCGGGCTTCACTCAGCTGGAGACTCCTGACTCCCTCCAACAGATGCTGCTAGCAGAGGGACTCAGGAGCACAGTGGTTTCACTATCAAGTGTAACTAACATCATGATATGCTACTCATACTGGTCCTGGGCTATATATCGATACATTGGTCAGGCCTAATCAGCAGCTTAACATAAATCAATGCCTCAGTTGATTTTTAAGGAAAATATGTCACAGCCTCACCACACTAGTGTTACTGGAGTTCTTGAGGTGGTTGTGTAGCAGCCTGGTAGCACCGTCCTGGAATGTTTTGGGCAAGGCACCAAGTAACATGGTAAACTCAGGAGTGTTCAGTTCAAACAGAGAAATCAGGACTATTTGTGCTGCCTAGGAAGGAATAAAAAAACCCACCAATCAACATCAGGGCAATCTTTAAAAACTGTGTATGTTCTGTTGAGGAGGGTCTTACCAGTAATAATGTGGGATGCAATTAAGATCCATGAATACATATGGTGTTTTGTGACAAGCTTCAATTAGATGGAATTAACATTCATTAACAGTATCTATAACAATGAAGCACATCCATAACAATGAGATCAATCCATTGAAGTTTTGCAAGAATTGCATCAAAGGTGTATGCACAAATTACTTCCCAAGTCCAATGAACTATCTTGTTTCAGCTATCTGGCCTTGGGGCTTCAGAACTGCCTTACTGCATCAGACAACAGGGTTACCTCATCCACCATGGTGTCAAACAATAAAGGGGAGCTTCAGTGCTTTAAATAAAAGAGCACATCGAAAGAATGTGTATCACATAGACTTGTATGTCGCTTTTTGATAGAAGGCTCTTGGATCCAATGGCAGCTTCCATCAGTAGAACCGGGAGGGAGGCGACTTTTGCCAATTCTTCCCTGGTGCAGCTGTCTGCGCCATCTCCCATGTTGTTCCAAAGGGTCCCCCCAACTCTCTGGAGGTTGGGGGAAGCACAGCGAGGATGGAAAAATAGGTGGACATCACTTCCCTCCACATTATGGTGATGGAGACCTCTGTTGGTTCTAAGAGTCATGCATAAGTAGAGGGGCACCACTGAATACATCCCAAGCAATGCAGTATTTTTCCTAGTAGAGATACATATCTCATGTTACACACCTTCAAAAATTACTAATCCCTACAAAGCCTTTTAGGGCATTTAACAAGCTAAACTCCAGACCAGCATCTTACACTCCACACTCCAGTGGAACTACTGAGCAGTCAGTTTTTGCACATGAAGTCTATCTGAAATATCTCAATTGAAGAAAAAACCCCATGTAACAGACTTATCATATGTGGATATAAACACAGTGCAATCTAAGAATGTTTACTTAGAAGTAAATCCTATTGAGCTCAATGGATTTTACTCCCGTGTGTGTGTGTGTGTGTGTGTGTGTGTGTGTTTGTTTTAGGGCAGTAGCCTCAAAATGCTGCTGCTGCTTCAACACATTAACTACAAATTCTGACTACTCTGGTCATGAGAACATTTTCAGTTGGCCTGAAAGCTGATGTATTCAGTAAACTTGGGCAATACGGTAGCCAACAGGTGCTGGAGTTTGATTGGGGAGGGAGGGGAGAATCCACATCCAGCATTCACTATCCAACTGCCATCTCGTTTCTTGTTTACATGTGGCATGAAGTCAGCCCTTAAGGGTCACTTGTCAGGGTCTAAACCGGCTGTTCAAAGGTGTGTTAAGATTCAGTCCTTAAATGGTGATCCTTTCCATCCACCATAAGCAAACTGTTACACCTGAAGAAGAGAAAATGTGCATCTGTTGTCTACAAAGGCCTAATAGTTTCCTTCCACTGGCCAGAGCATCTTCCAGCTGTGTAGAGAATCTGACTGTACTGTACCCAGAAAGAGGGTGGAAATCACTCCTGTCCATCTTGTTCTACAGAACTGAAGAACATTCATCAAAAGAACATTCTCTGAACTGAAAATATTATGACAAATCAAAGATGCAATAAAATAATAGGGAAAAGCAGGAAATCATGCCAAAGTACATAAGCACTCGGGACAGATCATGCAGATCCAAGCGCTGGAATTTTAGTTTGTCGGAGGATGCCTACATGCAATCAGTAGTGCACCTAGGCAAGCAAGATCTCAGGGTTGTGAAGTCCTAGAAAAGAGCAGATTCAAAGCACCTCTTGACTCATTTCTGAATTCACTAACTCTTCTGTTCCTAAAGCCACAGGAAAATGACTGCTCCTTTCAGTTGTCTTGGCAGTTCTGAAGCAGGCTCCTACCAGTTTCTACTGCAGGTCTGTCCCACCCCCCAGGAATAATTACAATGCCATCTATTTGAATCCAAAATTCTCCCTAGTAAAGGAGCTTGTTGCACTCGAGATTGCCATTCCTCAAATGCCACTGAAGGGCATAACCAAAGTTGTCTTTCTACGTAGACAAATGTCATTTTGCCTTTGTCTCCTGTAATAGGGCGGAGCTGTGTTGGGCTAATACCCAAAGGGTGTGCCTGCTGCATGCAGATGTAAAAGCAGGCACACCCCAACTTTGCGCCAGGAGCCTTCAGTCCCTTTCCACCCAACCTTGAGATGTGAACTCATCATGCAGTGCAACTAACTGCAGAGCTTCTCTTAAACAGTAATGATTACACTTCATCTAATTCAAACTCTTGAGTGAAAGGAAACGTACATCAAGCCAAGTTATTTGCACACACACATACAGACACACACAGTCAGCACTGCATATTTATTTCAGGCCTCCATTTCTCTCCACAGATGATGTAGACTAGATTAGAACTCTGGACTGCAAACAGAGAGTATACCTTATGATTAGTGTACACTACTTTTTAATCTACCTGTTTACACTTCTCTTCCAAGTTTCCTTCACCAGGACCTGATGAGGCTGATGGTCTAGCTGGTATATCCTCACCTACCCAACTATGCATGGTCTGAGGTCAACAAATAGGAAAGGGGACAGGATTTAGTAGAAGCAAGCACAATATTTTCAGTGACCCATACAGAAAAGCAGTTGCATATTTTAGTTTCTTGCCAGGGCTGCATTTTCAAAGCAGGTGGTGCTTCTCAAACTTGAGACCAATGCTGTAAAATTTAAATTGTTTTTTGATCACTAAGATCTTTTACATCTTATTTTGGCTGGGATCTCATCTATTATTTTAGTGGCATTGGATTCTATCTGAATTCTCCTCTGTTACTCATGCAGCACTCAGCAGTCTTAAAGGTACTATCAGACTTTAATTACTCCCACCTTAATAACTGCTGCTAAACATTATTTTTCATTTTCTCTTTTTTTGAGAGAGAGAGAGAAAGCACATGGACTTTATACTGCACCTCTCAAATCGATTGCTCACAAATCTTTTCCCTCCTAAAACCAAAGCAAGCTTTAAGAAGCTTTAGGGACCTCAGAGTATTAGGCAAGAGCTATGTTAATACAAATTGCAAGTATGTCAAACGACGCAATCCTATACATGTCTATGAAGTCCCAATGCTTTCAGTGGGGCTTACTCACAGGTAAATGTGTATAGGATTGCAGTCCGGGGCAGCAAAGAAGCAGCACATCACTCCATGGTGTTCCAGCAACACCACATATTTGCCTGAACGTTGATTAGATAGCCTTTCGCTGCAATAGTGCTAGCAGATTGGATTGCGACCCTAAGCCTGGTACGTGAATTTCCAGAGCACATTCACTTAGCAGTAGTGTTGAGAGCACTGATGGAGAGCCATGGAGCTGTCCCCCTGGCACTGGCATCACCACAGCTTACCTGGATAAGAATGTAAGGAGAACCTGATGGATCAGGTCCATGGCCCAGCATCCTGTTTTCACAGGGCCATGGTCAGGGTTCCATGGATGCATTGGTGGGGCTCCCATCGTACCAGCCATGACTGTCACGTTTAGCTGCCACGTTTTGAAAGCTACAATGCCAGATGAGACATACACTGTCCAACAAAACCCCGTTGGAACTTTTATGGAACAGCCCTGCTCATTCAGACCAAGGATCCATATTATCAGCACCTTGTTCCCAACTGTGGACAGTCAGATGCCTCCAGGAAGCCTACAAAAGCAGGGCAGGAAGGAAAAAGCCCTCTCTTGTTGCGACTAGTATTCAAGGTCTAGTTCCTCTGAACATGGAAGTTTCACTCAGATATAATGGTAAATAGCTTTTCTTAGATCAGGGTAGCCAATGTGCTGCCCTCCAGATGTTGAGAACTACAATTTCCATCATGCCTGACCACTGGCCATGCTGGATGGTTCTGAAGGGAGTAGATCACATCTGGAGAAAACACCACATTGGCCACTTTATTTAAAACCCATTCTCCATGATATTGCCTAATCCTTTTTTTAAAAACCCATCTAAGCTACTGGAGACCTGCACATTTTGTGACAGGCAATTAGATAAATTAACTACGCACCATGTGAGGAAGTATTTTCTTTTGTCTGCCCAGAATCTACTGCCAAGCAACACTCATCCTATTTTTTAAAAAACTATTATTTGCAGAACTCAGAACGCATGTACTGGCCAAAATTGCTCTTGAGCTTCTCATTCAAAACAAACAAAAACTGATGGCCACTGTTTTGGAAACAAGGCTTAGGAACAGAGAGATCTTTATAGGTTCTAATGGCATCAAAGACATTTTAAAATACCAGTGTGAAAGAGGTTTTTAAAGGCTCCTTTCCCCCTTTTCTTTTGAAAAGTACAAGTTTTATACTTCTCCAGAATGCTTTTCTATGAATAAGTATATTTAAAGAGCCCTCCTTACATAACCCCTATCTCTTTGCTCTTACTTGTGCTGAATCTAATCAGACATTTTTTTGCTCAGTCATTCAGTTTGAAGAGACGCCTTTAGAATTCTTCACTGTCTGCTTCTGATTTTAATTTGGTGTTAACAACAAAACTGACTTCAGATCATTTATAATTGAATTAAATAGCCATAATTTGCTTCCTTCCCATGTGAAAATTATGCAGTTAATGCTTTTTGTATTTGCATGCAAATGCCTATTTTGCCTTTTGTATGAAATCTGTGTTTGGATAAAGTAATTTTTCCACTGACATTTAGGTTTTTCTGAGTGGACCTTTCTCTTCAGTTTCTCGCTGTGTTTTTATCACCTGCTGCCTTATCCTCCCTAACATCCACAGGCTGTATCTTTTTCTTCTTATCTAAACTTTAACAAGGTGAGATTCCTCTCAACTTGTGTGTAGCAATGGTGACACCTAATGGCAGAGCTGGAAACTTCCTAGACCTTGCTAAAATGCTATTTCACCAGCAAGTTGCTTTAAAACTATATTTTTCTTTCTTTATCACACAGAGACAAGTAAATTAGCCCATTAAGGATGGGCAGCACAACCAAGACACACTCTCTCTCTCTCTCAAACACACACACACACAGTTCCAGACACTGCCCTGCTGTGGAAATCTTATTAATCAATCCAAATAATCTAGCTTTAGGTCTTGACATCTGGTGCAAAAGTATGGGGGTGGGGGCCAGAACATCATAATACTGTAGTAATGCAAAGCACATATTTACAGAAAGGTATTCTACTTATTGTAGACAATTCCAAAGTGCCTCTTTTGTAATTATATGAAATAAATATTATGTATGAACCGAAAGTGTGTGTGTGTAACATCTGTTCATACTGCCCACTGTTAAGGGGGGAATTAGGTAGTGACCAGAGAAGGGCCTTTTTTGGTTGCAGCACCCCATCTGTGGAACTTCCTTCCTAGGAAAGCTCACCTGGCACCTACCTTGTTATCTTTCAGGCACCAGACAAAGACCTTCCTATTCTCCCAGGTCTTACAATTATTTCACCTACTCTGTGAAGATTGTCTCCTATTGTTGCAACTACTTTTTATGCTGTTTGATCTGTTATTATTGCTGGCTGTATTTAATTTGTTTTAATGTTTTTAAAATCATCCTAGACCAAGTGATAAAGGGGGTGGATGGTGCAGAAATGTTCCAAAACAAGCATGTTATCTGAATTTTAGGGTTCATCAAAAATATGCTTCTAGATCCTGTTTTTGTTCTATCTAGGGAGTGGAATCTTTTATTATCTAATAGGAATGTAAATATTGTGGATGGTGAATAATTGACTCTCTCTTTTCAAAGTAAGATACCATTTGATCCGTCAGATGTATTAAAAAAAAAAGAGCTCAAAGTTCTTCTGGTTATTCATATAATGCTATGGAAGACAAAAATGGATGGTCAAGTAGCCATAAACTTTATCTAAGGTGACAGATTTAGATACAGCCTTTCAAAAATCAAATTACTTGACCTATTTAATTTCACAATGTTTATAACGGTTTATATTAACTTAGAAAATTCTGACACTTAACCCTTATCGCTGCTTTAACTCACCTTTCTCACATCTGAGCTCTTTGGTTCTGTTGTCCAAGTAATGATCCTAGAAACAGCAAGTTTTGCCTCACTGGAGTTTGCAAAATCTGTGGGGTCCATCTGTCTGGCCAAGGACTCAATATACTTCAAGATGGCCACTTTTACCTAAAGTGTGTGGGATACTTCTGTAAGTAAGATAGAACACTGCAAATTCCCCAAACCCCAAGATCTTTCCCTGCTCCTATTCAAGGATCTGTGGGTCACTGATTGCTATATAAAAGTCATCTCTAGATTTTCTGAACACCACTAAAATATAAACACTGGACAAAATACCACCTTCCCCACTTTTCTGTGGTCAAGTACTATGTTCTCAGATGCAAGCATTTCCCAATGCTACTGCAAAAGCTTTTACTTGCCTTAAGGTTTGGTGTTTGGGTTTGATCTACAATAAATCTCATCAAAATATTAAACTGTTGATCAAATGGAAAAGAATCCCTAGAGTGGAAAGAAAAGAAAACAATGCATGACAACAAATTCCATTACTAGTCACAGCATTTATGCACACACGAGGCCACATTTGCACATGATGCTAGACCACGGTTTGTAGTATTTAGATCAGCAACCTGTGGATTAACTATGTTTAATCTCAAACAACTTGCAGTTATAATTGCTGAAGCTGGCTTATTTAAACTAACCATAGTTAAGACTAGCCACTTTCAGGTTTGGATGTCATGGGAAACCAATTAATTGAGAGTGGAAATGAGAGTTTCTGAAGTCATCCTCCAGGCTGTGTGGGATGAGGAGCAGGGGGAGGGTGACTTCCAGGCGTGTTGTGTCTTGTTCTTGTTCATACACATTGCATTCACCTATGGTTTACTGAGGTGTGCAGACATGGCTAATGTTCAGGCAATAACAAAGGTTCTAGAAAGATAGTTCTCTCTCCCCCCCCCCTTCTGTTTCATTCAGTTTTCCTTTTCTTGTAAGATCTTGTCTCAGATGGAGAAATGATGCAGCACTTACCACTCACAGCCTCGGCGATGGAACACAAAAAATAATATACAAAAAAAAAGACGAGTCTCAAATGCAAACATGCAAAAATTTTTTGCAAAAATGCAAAGATGGTTCTTTCGGCACTGCTACATGCAGCCCTTGTTTCTTTGACCTGGGCTTTCATGGAAGCCCTCTGAAAAGGGAGGGAAGCTCTATAGCGTAGTGCTTGATGAACGACGTCTTCCAACTTATACAATCCAAGCATAGACCTTAACTATTGGCTGCTGAAAAACTGTCAAGAATCCATTGTCATAATTTAAAGCACTCTTGTACAACTTTAACAGTCATAGCTTAGCCCAAGGAAACTTGGGAACTATAGTTTGTTAAGGGTGCAGGGAATTGTAGTTCTGCGAGGGGCTTCCCAACAACTCTCTGAGTCCTTAAGAAGCTGCAGCTCCTAGGATTCTTTGGGGGAAGCCATGACTATTCAAGTTGTAAAAAGAGTACCTTGAATGTATGGTGTGGGTGTGACCTCTAGGCTCAAATGTTTAGGCTGGTTTTCAATGAATGGCAGGGTTCCTTCAAGTAGTAAATAAAAGTAAATAGCTTCTCTCCTGAAATGTACCAGGTGTTACAATGGCGTGGTTTAGATATACTGCTAAACCAGTTTACTGTTAGAGAAACAAGACTACCCGAGATTCAAGCGTAAGCACTCTCCTCTCCCAATGTAGCCATGAGAATTTTATTGGAAGCATCCACATCCCGGTTGAAATTAGCTGTAGTCTCTTACTACATCCAAACTAGGAACTGCAGTTAGTTTAATCTGTGGCTTATTTCAAGAATGTGGAATCTTTGGACCTCCAGATACTGTTGAACTACAATTCTGATCATCTCTGATGACTGATCAACAGCTGGGGATGTTGAGCATTTTATTTCTATACTGCCCTTCATCAGAGGATCAAGGGGGAGGGGGGGTGTTACTATATAAAAACACAGAAAAGGCATACAATAATAAAAAAACAATACTTCCCCATACACACAGTTTAAACGGTCATCAATTGTTTAATCGTTTTTATTCATTTATTAAATTTCTAGTTGTTGATATCCAACATCATCTGGAGGCCCAAATTCCCCATTCCTGGTTTACTAAAACAAGCCAAAAACCACAAATTGATCTTAACTTGTTTTGATAAACCATGGCTTAAACTAATCACAGAATGGTCTAGATGCAGCAACAAACTGTGGTTAGTTTAAATCAAGAAATGTTCTGCTGATCTCCTCGTTGTGGTTGCATCAGAGGAGCAGGAAGTAGGGAGTGCTTGTGCATGGGGTCCAAGTAGGCTTCTTCCTGTGATGTTAAACTACGATTTCATGTTATATCCAAAGCAGATCATTATGTCTAAATGTCTGGTGAAGTCACCTTGCTGGTAGGTTCACAGGTCATCCATTGTTATTTCCAGACACACTACCTTGTTACATCCAGAGCTTTCTGCACTTTTGCCTGTACTGAGCCCAGCAAGTCAGCTCCCATCTTCTTGAGCAACTGTGTCAGGAGGACAAAAAGCCAATCCTGCAAATCATCCTTGTGAATAATGATGAAGTCTACCAGGGTTTCAAGAAACATGCTGAAAACCTATAAGAAATATAGAGATAGGGGGGGGGATAATAGTTATAATAACACCGCAAACATGTCCAAAAGAAGAAGAAAAAAGGGGGGATCTACTTTAGATACGGAATACTTTTAGAAACAATGATAGCACTGTAAACTTTCAGGATGTGCCATATTAAACATATAAAAGAGGTGACATGGAGGGGTGGGGGTGAGGAGGAAAGAGAATACACTTACTCTCTGTAGTGAATTCCACCGCAAAACAGGCCATGCAACAAAACAAACCATTCATTAGTACATAGATACGGAGAACCAAAGCCAACTGCTCTAGGGCAGTTTCCCCCAATACCCAGATAATATATGCATTCACATAAAGTTTGAGACATGTGTTTTATTATAGGCTAGAGTTAAGTGTTTACAAATTGATGCAAGTAACATATTTTGAAACAACTGTTCTTACTGCACATTAAGGAGATGTTCTGCCCTAAATGAGCCCTACTTCTGCAATGCTCAAGCTTCAGGAAGAAATGCACAAATATTTTGTAGTGAGATAATTTCTTTATACCCCCACTTCCTTCACTAAGAAGCCTTAAAATATTACACACAAAGTCAAATCTGTTTCAGAGCATAATGACGCCGTCAAGAGATTGAGACAACCAAGGTTTCAATAATAAGCTTGTTTTATACCAACAAAATGTTTAAAAATATATGTACATTCACAAAATATTACAGGTTTATCTTACAAGATCTACTTAAGATTTTACCTTGCTGTGCGGGTCAGCAAACATGCGTGTGAAGATCTCACACAGTCTTTTCAATTCAACTCGGCTGAAACACAAAACCCAAATGAGAATGTTTTAGATCTGACATAAAGTATCTGTAAAATGCGGGAAAGGAAGTATTTTACACTTACTGTCCGACCATAAAATGTGTGGTACTATGAAATACAGTTCTTAAGATTGGTCATATTCACAAACAATATAATATGTGGTGCTATTAATTCAGGATATGCCAATTTTATATGATAGTTGAGTGTAATGAGTCTCCCTCCTACTGCCGGCCTGATGACGGGGCCCACAATTAAGACCATATTAATAAAAAATGATTTAATCTACACTGCTTTACTTCACAGCCCCAGTTTTAAGATGCTGGTTACCAACTTGAAAGCCACAAATGTTTGGGGGCTGGAATATTCCAAATAATGTCTTCTCCATCCACTGAGATCTTCTGGGGAGGCCCTGCTTTGCATCCCACCAGTATTAGAAGTACGCCAGGTGGTTACATGGCACAACGCTCCCTTGGTTGCAGCACTCCCTCAGAAGGAGAACTTAGCCTCTTCCCTGCTTTAGGGAGATTGCAAATGCCATTCCGGTGGGCTTTAAGTTTAGGGTGATCACCTGCCCTCTATTTGTTTGCTGTTTGGCATATGGCTGATCGGGCTTTCCTCTTTTGTTTTTTTTCTGCTGCAGGACCTTTTATTATCACTAAACTCTACAATTCTATGATTCTAAGGGATCCCAAGGGACATCTAGCCCAACCCCCTGAAATGCATGACTCTCAGCTTAAGCATCCATAACGGATGGCCATCCAACCTCTGCTTAGAAACCTCCACAACACACACACTCACTCACTCACTCACTCACTCAAGGGCATTCCTTAATCCTGAGTTAAAAATAAAGGGCAGTATAAAAAATAAATAAATAATACCTCTCTTAAACTTACTAAAACAATTACCTCAGTGTCCTCTGGCTCTTCAATAAGTTTTGTAGACCTATTAGCCCCTCTTTCCTCTCAGACCAGTTGGAACTTGCACAGTGATTTAAGACCTCGGCCACATCTTCCGTCTGCCGCAGGTAGTGTGGGATACCTCCATTTCGGGAACCGTAGGAGCGCTCTGAGCAAGCACTTGATGCGTCACTGTTTGCATCATCATCAGAATACATCCCATATGGCTCATACCTTCGTCTCACCGGCTTTTTCTGGTGGGGGGAAATTAACCCTGAACTTAGTGGGCTCCACATGATCACACTGAAGCAAAAACTAGGAATTTAACACCAAAGGAGCCTGCTTGACCCTGCTGGTGATTATGGCATAAAAACATTTAAACCACAATCAAACTGCATCAGGAGCCTTAGTGAAGAGTGGCATAGACTGCCCTAAAAAGGACAAAATATAAGCAGTGATAACAGAAAAGGCCCCATGAAAGAAGAAACTACCGATAATGAGATATCATAAATACTAATATAGAAAAGAACTGCGGAGATAAAACATGTAGCTAACAAGCCAGTGATTTAAACTGGAAAAAGAGAAATATTCTGTTGCTGATATCGTTTTGTAAATAAATAACAAGGATTGCCTCCAAATTTACCTATGTAAATTCAGATTTTATATAGTATGCCATATTTATGGTTTTAAGTGTTTGTTGGTTCTTCATTAATAAACAAGAGTCATAATTATGCCAATACAAATTTCGTTTAGTGAAAACCAATGTCTTGAAAGCCCAGGTTTGCAAATAAGATATTTAGCAATGATCATGAATTTCTGAAATGATTACATCACACTCCATAAAAGCTACTCAAAGTATACATTGGGGAAAGATGTGCACACTCCCTCTAGTCCCAATGAAGTTCAAATCCCAAGAAAATGTGTAAGACGAGCACAGGGAATTCCCCACCTGCTGGCATCAGCATAAGATCCAGGTGTCCCAAAATTAGCATTAGGAGAGGTTCTTGTTTTTGGAATTGTGTATATTTATGGAAACCTAGAGGCTATCACTAGAGTGCAATAGGCTACTTTGAAAATTCATACTTACTTTGGACGTGGTCCTTATTGTCATATAATGTGTGTGGATGGCAATGCCAAATGAAGAATAGCAGCTATATGCCCAGTGAGAGACCATCTTGCCTGTGTGTTCCTGGAAGACCTGCTCCCTGCCTTGCAGGCCTTTCCCCACCTGGCGGCCTGGGAGTGCAGAGCCCTGAGTGACTCCAGCTGAACTGAACACTCTTGGGCTGGGGTGTTGTTTGGTGAGGGGGGTTGTTGCTGTTGGTTTTTTGTATCTTTATTTTAGATCCTGTTGCGATTTATGTGGAAACTGTTCAGTTTGGCTGCGTATTTTAAAAAAGTTTATTTATTGTTTATGACAACTTTTACTATGCCGTGGTTCTGTATTATTTTCGTGTTGTAAGCTGCCTTGAGCGTGTTTTGAAATGTGAAAAGGCGGCATACAGCAAAATAATAATAATAATAATAACATGGAATATGCTCCCACCCTTGCTAGAAATACCTAATTGTGCTACGCAACATCAAATAACTATTATTTTCAGAGCTATGTATTACACCCGATTCCTTATGTTTCCCACCCTCTACATAATTTAGCATACATGCATATACACATGTACATAATAGTAATGTTTTATTTGCATAATTCATTAAAGAGTCTTGTTTTCTTTGACACACACACACAGACACTAAGTAAATGATACAGAACGTGTTTCTGAGGTCCCAATTCCACAGCTTGATAGGACTCCAGACCTGGGCTCTAACATATCAGAATAATTACAGCACCATATGAATTCTGTAACAGGAAAAGCAAAAAAAAGGGAGGGGGAGGAAAAGAACTAAACAACAACAAAAAGTCAAAAAGTCAGGCACTAGTACCTTGCTTCTGGAGTCTCCTAAGAGCTGTATGCAGGAAAAGGTTGAAGGGCGGGAGAAAGCATAAGAGAATTATGTCAGAAGCTTATGCAGGATTGTACTTGCAACAAAAATGTACAAGCAAATGTGTCTTAGCAAATAAAAATATAAATTGAGCCAGATTTACTTCAAGCAACACAAAATTAAAATGGGTACAGAGCATGGCACCAAACAGATTGCTCTTCTGATCTCACTTCCCAATGCAACCTAAGTCCTCTTCAATTCAAGCATAGGTGATGCGCACTTAGCATTCTGCCTTCACTTAAAGCCAACATTATCCTATGCCATTCTGACACTTTTATACAAGTCCAATAACAACGAATTGCAATCCTGATTATCACTCCTAAGCTTCTGTTCTCCTTAAGGTGGCATTTGAGGACATGTTATCTCTTACCAGCCCACAGACACAGAATCCAAGACAGGGAAGAGATAACACGTTCTCTAGCATCACAGAAAACCAAATAACTAAGAGCTATTTTTTCTCTAGCTATTATTGCTAGTCAGCGATAAGTTGTTCAAATACACTATGGCAGGCATAGGCAAACTCAGCCCTCCAGATGTTTTGGGACTACAACTCCCATCATCCCTGACCACTGGTCCTGTTAGCTAGGGATGATGGGAGTTGTAGTCCCAAAACATCTGGAGGGCCGAGTTTGCCTATGCCTGCACTATGGTCTCCCAGAGCTCCCTCCCTCTCTCATAGCCAGCTGGGACTTATTTCTTCCCCTGAATGTGAAATCTCTTTATCCCAATGTTTTTCATTGACCTTCAAATCAACAAGACTGGTTCTGAACACTGATTTCACGTTTGCTAGGCAGAAACAAAGATGTTTCTTTTGACCAGGTTCAGTTGTCTCCTTTTACAGGTACAGAAATTAGTGTGTGCCAGGACACAGAATTTGACCTGCGGGGCTTTGTTTGAAATCTTGTTCGGTGGGATAAAGCCTTTTTGGAGCAGTATCTAGACTTCTCAAATACCAAGGTGGAGGGGCAGGGAGCAGAGAATGCTGCTTTTGTGAGAAAGACTACTAGAGATTAGGGGATTTTTTTCAGTGAGAAACAGAGAAAGGCAGGAGACTGGCTACCAAAAGTAAAACAATTGCCTTTTCACAATAGTAACGAGGAGAAAAACAGCAAAATTCAACTGAAATAGACTTTGGAGGGTTTCTTGTTCTACTGCAACATCAGCTGGACCTGGGTATCTGTCAAACAGGGTTTCAATAAGTCAGATGACTGGTCTGCTGCTCTGCATATCTTCAGTATGAGAAGGCCCTATCTTACCAGTTCTGGGGTTTTCTGGATTGGGCTTGCATTGCTAGTCGGCGATGCAAAATACCACTACCTTGAAGTAGAAACAAATTGTCTCTGTGTTCCATGTGGAGAATTGATTTTATGATATACTTGTTGAGGGCAGAGACTGCAGGACCCTTTTCCCTATCAGTCTTTAGACAGATGAAAATAACTGACGCGTGTATGCTTCAGCTGACAGGATAATCTGAAAATTTATTTTGGAAAAAAATACTTCACTACAGCCCTTTCTTTATGGATTTATGATTTTACTGAGGCATGGGAGAGAGAGCGTATAATTCACAAGCTGCACCTCAGGGCCAGTAGTTCCCTGTCAACTTTAACAAACACAAGAGACAGCTTGTACTGAAGTACTGGAGGCCTCGCTAGCTATCCATTCTAATGGAAGCTCTTCAGTCGTGGGTGAGAAAACAAAGTCAGTCATGGATGAACATTTTCATCCAGTCAAAAAAATACTGAGCTAGGTGGACCCAGAGTCTAGGAGCTAGAATCAAGCCCACAGTGTCAGTCATAGCAGAAAGTGTTGTACTTAGATGCACTTAATGGATTGTTTTCTGGAACTGAGGAGCATCCAGCACAGCACTTCTAAGGCCACATTCACGCCACACATTTTAAACACTATGGTACCACTTTAAATTGTCACAGCTTCCCCCAAAGGATCCTGAGAGATGTAGTTTGTTAAGGGTGCTGAGAGTTGTCAGGAGACCCCTATTGCCCTCACAGAGCTACAATTCTCACGAGTTCCCTAGGAAAAGAGATTCATTTTTTGCCTTCCAAATGCACCAACCAACCTTCAGGAGCCAAGCAAAATTTGTTAACACTTCTGGAGAGATTCCCAACCTTCTCAGGCCTGGAGGCACATTTGAGAATCAAAGGAACTGTTGTAGGAACTGCAAAATACCCATTTCACAGAAGTAACAGCAGTACTCAGACCCACCCATCTATCTTCTATCTATCTATCTATCTATCCATCCATCCATCCATTCGCAAAAAAGAGTTACACACACCCACACCCAAACATGTAAAACAGAGAGCAAAAAAAGCAGGCAACACCCCCCAATTCAGGAAACTTCCCAACCAAACACTCCCCCCAAAGTAAAAAGAATAAAATGAAATAGGGAGGGGCAGGGGCCTTGGTGAGCATCAGTGGGGGATTTGAGGGCGACCCCAGATACTAACCACACCAGGGACACCTACTGTGCTGGAAATCAAACCTGAAATAACTAGAGACACAAGTCCTTACTGTCTGACAGCTGAAGAAGCCACAGCTAAAGCATCTCACCTACCATGGTATATAACTGTTGAACAGAGCAGACAGCAGTTCAGAGACTTTGGCTTGTTCCTAAGTGCATTTAGATGGAATATGACTCATCCAAATAAATGAGGGTTACTTCCACATAAGGGTAGTTAGGATCAAACAGTTAATGCTTGCAACTCTTCACTTCTATCTGAGACTACTAGTGTCAATCTTCTCAGCTCCAATGCCAGCAATCACAACAGCTCTGCCTCTTGTGCAGAACGGCTGTGCATTAACTAACTTTATTCCACATATGCCAAACTCCAAGACAGACATTTAGGCAGTGTCACGCACATTAAAAAGGAACAGTTATAAACAAGAAACAGGAGAATGTACGTACAATAGGCAGCTTTAAGTCAGTTTCTGGTGTTGGTAGCATTGTGTTTTCCTTCTTACCAGTGCATCCGCCACAGCAGCCTCCAGATCTGTGCTTGTGCTGAGGACTCGCATTGCATTCATAGAGGCAGGCAACCTGCCTGGCTGTCCAAGCCCAAACCGGTCTGCACAAAAGACAATATTGAAAGGCATCATTAGGGGAGTTCACAGTCCCTTGGAATATTAATAAGGCTGCTGGCCAGGAATGAACCGACACAGAGAAGGAATTCTCACCATGGCTTTAATTATTACCAGGCACTGTTTTGTTTTGTTATGATCAGACCTCTTTAGCACCACAACAGACTTGTCAAAAATGTAGAGTCCTGTTACATAGCTAGCTAGGATCCCAGATGTAGCATTGGACAAGTCACCAGAATACTTTCCTATCGAGAAACAGAGGGGAGGGAGTTGATCTCTTTTATGGTGTCTTTTTAATGAAACAACCTCTGGATATCACTCATTGTTCAAAGGAAGACGCATGAGTACCACAACAAAATTTTCAAGTGTGTTTTGTGTGTGTTTTTAAGACAAAAAATTGTCACTAGTATTCTATTAATTTTCTTTTCTTTCTTTTTCTTGCAGGTCCTGCAATGTGTACTTTTTAAAATACTCTAGAATAGCTAACAATTACTCTGACAGTGGCCCAGGACATGGCTTAGCACGAACTAGCAAACATGCGGATTCCAGAGTAAAGACTGTGGCCTTACTGTTGATGGGCTACACAGAGGTAAGCCATGGTTTGGCTTAGCATTACATCTGAATCTGGGTTTCACAGCCTTATAGAAGAAAGACTATAATAATAATGATAGAATGAATTTCAAAAGGATTTTTTTCCAACAGCTAGCGTAGGTTATCAATCAAATAAAGATCACAGTGTTTGAGCTTTTTAAAAGCAACAGTAATGTAGAAACATGGCATGCCAATCCTACTCTAGCTGTAGGCAATTAGCTGTGCACAACAACTGATGTCAAATGATGGTGTATATCCCTAGTTTGTTCAGTGGGGCCCAATCAGCATCATGAAGTGGATGAGTGTATGGATCTGAACTACCTGCAACAGCAGAAGGCTGTGTCCTTGCATATTTCCCTTGCTAGATCAGGACAGTGATAATCTGCACTACTGAACCATATAATTTGCAACTGTGCAATAAGTGATAAAAAGGTGGTTTACATGCAAATATTTTAGGGCACACTAATTAGAAACAGTATTTGCTTAAGTAGCTTCATGCTTTCATCTCCAATGAATAGGAATTTCTGGCAAGGTTTAATGGGGGTGTGCAGATTCAATAACAACTGTTGAAGGAACCTAGGCATAAACAGAATAAGTTCAACAGGAAAAATCATTTGTGAGCTCTGTGAACTCTGCAATCTTCTCTCAGATAAAAGTTGCATTCAACTTTTGCATTCGATATTTGTTTAGGTCTGCAGGAAGGGAAGCAAGATCAGATCAACTATGGCATAAAGGAAGAATCAATGTTAAGAGGCCAAAACCAATAATTTTCTAAGCATTGGGGCAATTATATCAAACGTTTTTCATTTTTCAAAATGTGTTACCAAGATAAGGCATTTTAAATTTACAACAAGCACATTTTCTAAAAATAAAAGTAGACTACATGCGAAAATTAAACGTTTTTAATGGAAAGCCTTTTCTGAAAACAATTGACTGATGATGTTTACAGGGAAATAAAAACTGCATGTTATTACTATTCCCTTTTTTAATGCACCTAGTTGCAGAAGCAGCACAAATACTTGCTTCAAGCATCAGTTTTGTTTCAAGTAGATCTTCAAGTAGAAAGACCTGGTGGAAATGTGACAATGTATATGAAGTGACAAGCCAAATGCACTGCTATGAAGATTTGTACCAGTCAACCATAATTCCGTAAGTATCACTAAGTATCTGGTGCAATATAATAGCCATAATCCCGTAACCTACCTCCTTTGTTAAAGCCCTCCACTCTTCAGTGGGACTATTTGAGTAGGAGGCTTCAGAGAATCTACAAATACGTCTTAATGTCTTTGGATCAGGTGGCATTGCTCAGGTCTCACTGAAAGCCAGAATTTCACCCCTAGATTTGAATCTTCCAACATTTCAGAAACAGCAGAGGTAAAATGAAGTGTATGATCCAGCCAAAGCTAACCACTTTCATTTGTTTCAATGAAAGAAATGAACCACTAATCTGCATGGGGTTTAAAAGTGCTGAAATTCAGCTGGGTCATGGATTAGGGTAACATTTCTACTATTTGTGGAATATCCACATTTGAAATATAGAACTGCCATAGCGTTGCCCCATTGAAAGGTGCATGGGAATTTTGGGACTGTGACGTTTCCCCAGAGACATGGCAAATCATTACTTCTATTGCTACCTGCCTCCCAAAATCAAGGGACTGGTTGGACTTTCATACATGATAAACTGGCCCCAGAATGTGCCACATGCAGCTTACTAGGCTAATTTCGTGACATGCGAATGAACAAGAAAGTGATAAAAGAGGAATGTGAAACCAAATTTGCTCCAGAAAACATACATAAATCTAGTACTCTTGCCCAGAAAGTAATCACCAGCTTGATTTAATACATCAAGATCCCACCCACCCTGGCAAGAGATCCAATACTGAACAATTCTTTGACAAATCATGAAGTAAAAGAAATCTTTGCATCCCAGTGTGGTTATGGCCACCCTCCAGGAAAAAGGCATGCCACTGGGGAATTAACTTTCAAGTGAAAATATTACTTATGTAAGTTGGTGAAGAGTGAAAATCTAGCTCCAGCAATGCCAGTTGAAATGCTCACAATTTTCATAAAAACCAGAACTGAATTCTGTCACATGTTATCAAGAAAAATTAAGACTGCATTAGAAAAGGGAAGATAGTTTTTTAAAAGATGTGGATAATCAGAATGGTAAAATAAATCATGTCATAAGCCTTTAAAATACCCAGCAGAAACAGCTAAATTAAACTCACATTAAGTTACAAGGTGGCATGCAGCTATATGCCCTACTTCGAGCAAATGGGCAGAACCCATGAGATGGGTGATGATGCAATACATGTTTCTATTGGGACAAGTTCTGGGCTTGTCAGTCCCTCACTCCAGAAGAGTATGTTTTCAGTGTACTAAAGCCCATTTCAGAGATATGAATGAAGTTCTCCAGTAAAGTTCTCCAGTAAAGTTTCAGAAGAGCACAAGGCAAATCCCAAATAATTTTTCAATGACACCCATTTTGAGACAAATTCTACCAAATCTGCCACCTTTCAAAGGTATAGCACAAATTCAAATAAATCATGATCTATAGAAATCTATATTACTTGGCTTAAGAAGCTAATGCAAATCCGTAAAGACCGAGTCCAGCTTAAAAACCCAAGCTTCTAATTGCTTGATTTGTGCCTTTCAGTAAATAAGAGTTTTATAAAGCTTGGATTGAACATCATTTTAAAAATTGTATTTACCAAAGAATATTAAACTGACTTTTGCTATTTGCACACCAGAGAGATACACTGTACAACTGAATTCTGAGCCACATCCTTGCTGCTGGTCAACTCTGCCATTTATTTATTGAGCATTAGATAATTGCAGCTCCAAGTGATGTTATGCGCTACCTGTGGCTGCTGTTCAGCATGCCCCAAAATACTATGCAATCTGTCTGAACAAATGCATAGAAGATACATCAACAAAGCCCCGAATCACCATTTTAACATTGTTTCCTTTCCAGGAATAACAGTATGCAAAAGCAAAAAAACCAACCCACCTTTTAAAAAAAACGCATTCAAAACTTAAAAGTGACAAAAGTATGTTTAAAAGAAAAAAAGAAAACCTATGGCGGTGGTGGTGGTAAAAAAAGAAGCAGCACATGCTGAATGGAGAGCGACATTTGTGACTGCAAATGTTAAAATGGCAATAAAAAGAGACACTATTAAGAAGCAGACTCATGCAGTTAGCACTTGTTCACCTGACTGCCCAACAGAATCAGCAGTGGAGAGAGCGCTAGTGGACCTGGAATGACGTCGAGAGGCTGCAAGTAGAAGGAATGGCAACACCCACAGGATTAACACACATGTACTCAAGACAGAAAAGTGCCACAGTCCAAAGAGGATGCACATGATTAATACCAACACTGGCGTTACATAGTGAAAAGGAAATGGCATCGCATATGAATGGACATATAAATCAAGTGCCAGCCCCACAAGCAGGACCAACACCCAAAGCTCCCTTGCTCACCCCCCACCCTCCCCCTCCAGCTATGGGGCATGATGCATGAAAAACAGAAGGGACCCCTTTCGAGACTTCTGAGTTACGTGCAGTCCAGCAGAGACTGAGAAACATGAATCACCTGCCGGGTTCAGGAGAATCACTGGTGAAAACATGGAATGATCAACTTGGAAGCAATAGGATTTAGGTGTGGTCCGTCTAAATCCTATGGCGGAATCACAATGAATCCTTAGAAACTGTGCTTGCAAGTGTTAAACCTCATTAGTTTCATTCATAGATGTGAACCCATGGTGAATAAAAAGACAATTTGTAGTTCAGGGACAAACCGACAGCGCCAGAGAGGAGCGGAAAGACAACATAAGGAAATAACTTTCATGACATATATTTGCTGCAGAAATTATATCCCCAGTACCACAAAGCAGATAACCTATTAAAACTGAACATATGACGCTACCATAGACATATTCAGGCTCCCTCTTAGGGGTAGCATCTCTCCCATTCCCCAGGCAGAGGGATTTTCCCAGTTCTGCTAGCCCAGAATCCATTAGCAGTGAACGTGGGAACTTCTGCATTTAAAGCAAGTTCTCTGTCGAGAGTCTAATTAGGGTACCATATGGTCTGGACAACATACAGCTACAGTATGGAAAAGAACAAATCTGGATTTGAGAGGAAATTTGAATCATTAATGTTAGTTACAGGCTTTACTCTGAATATAGAGTCCTGAGGTCAGTTTTGTGGCTGGAAAACATCCAAGCACCCAAAAAGTAAAAGGCACCAGCACTGACAAATAGTCATTTAAATCATTCACAAGTGCCAATAGAGCCGTATACAGTTAAAGCAGTCTGGTCACAGTATACTTACCTTTGGATCTAAGACAATGAAGAGTTTGTATCATAATGATGTATTGATTAATACAAAAATCAAAGAGGTCACACATTATACTGAGGAAAGAAGCAGATTTGGCTGGGGAAAGTGTCATTTAAATACTTTCACCGCTTATTTATTCAGCTGCTCAATCTGCAGTTGTACTGCATGCATGCTCATGCTTTCACTAGTTCTGAACTCAGTTTTGGATCTGAAAGAGCACCCTTCACTTTAACAACTAAAAGAGTCTAAGCAATAACAGAGCAGAGAATTTGGAGGTTGATGTAAGATGGCAAGGATAAACCCTGATAATTTTTTTTTGCATTTCATATACTCTCCCATTTGATCCCATCTTGGATATTTTAGATATCTATATGTGGGCCCATTTTGCATGTCACATTATATTATACGTAGTGTAAAGCAAACTGTGGCTTTGTGTGAACTAGCAGTTATAAAAAAAAAGATTATGAATTATTTTATTGGAACAGATGGTTATAAGATCTGTGATCTTGTATATTTTGTTGTTCCTTCAGCTTGTTAAACTTCCTTGTGTATAGTAATATAGATGAGTGGTATACAAATTAAAAGTGACATGAAAAATGAAAAATTGTTGCTAAAAAGTTCCCATAGTTCTCTTCCCCGCCTTCTGCTACCGCCATGCTGCATACGAAACAAGTCAGAGTCTGGCTTGCTGTGTTGCCCAAATAAACTATTAATATAATGTGATGTGCAAAACCGGGAGATGAGCCAGGGTAGTACTAACATTATTTAGCAAATCTATTTCAAAGTCTATAGTTGCATTTTATATAAAATGCTATTAAACTCTTAAAATTGAATTTTGATTTAGATTATCACTAACAGCAGTATTTTTTTTATCTTGCCTTACTAGAAGAAAAAATATAACTTTACATATGTTAAATGCTAGGAATATGTACAACCAGTTGTATACTTGGACAGTAAGAAAAGCATACAGCTTTGCATTAACAGTTGAAAAGTTTCTAAAATGGTACATTTGATACATGCACCACTAAGATGTCTTTGGGTTTTAGTTTTCAGTTACAGTATATGACTGGGGAAAAACAACATAAATATTTGGTTCCAATATCAGTCACACAGAGAGAGAGAGAACGCAACTGCTCCTTTAAATTCATGTTTTCTGTGCCTGTTTGCAAACTTTGCAGCCCAAGAACTGAGTCACAGAACAACAGTGGAAAGAGAAGAGTCTTCCAAATGCTTAAGCAATGCATAGAGATTCCCCTGCCGTGCTCCACATGTTGCATTGATCATTGCCAGGCTATGCAGCAACAAATGCCCCCCTTCTCCTAGCCCAGGAGTCTGCAACCTTTAAGACAAAAAGAGCCACTTGAACCTGTTTCCGAAGAAGAAGAAAAACTGGGAGCCGCAAAACTTGTCATTATAAAAATAACTTTTTTGTCACTTTTTATTATTATTTCTTTGTTTGACCCCTCAGAATTACTCTTCCTCATAGAAATAAACGTTAAATTAACAAGTTACCTTTTTGTGTGTGTGTGTTCTTCACTCCACTTCAAAACAGTGACCAGCGTACATGCCCCTTACAATGTAGTGGGCGGGCGGGAAGGTGACGTCGGGACGGTGCGTGACTAACGCACACACCGCCCCCATGTGACGTCACAGCCAGTACAGCGCCCGCCACAGTGGGGAGTGTCGGGGCGCACAATGCGCCTCCTCCCCTCGCTAGTATCCGCCCCGGAGCCGCGGCAAAGTTGTAAAAGAGCCACATGCGGCTCCGGAGCCGCGGGTTGCAGACCCCTGTCCTAGCCCAATGGGTAAACACTCTCAAACATGGGCAAGACGAGGCTAAGAAGACCGGGGCTTGTGTTTTTGCTCAGACCTTTTTAAAGCCATTCCTTAATCATCCTTTAGAAAGCTATCTGAAACATTCCAGAATTCAGATTAATATTAATAAATCTTAGTTAAAGAAGAGAGGATGGTTCCTGAACACACAAACCCCCAACCTTGTTTTAGCTGTAATAGATCACCACACTAGAGAAATTTTAATTATCAACAGTGAGTATAAAGGTTTTCTGATTTACCTATGTATATAATGGCAGCAATAGTCACTTATCAAGTAGAAGAAATTTTTGTTTTTTGTTATATTGTTATTCTATCTACTATAAATTTTTGAAAGCTGTGTGACGTCTGTTCATCCGTTAGTTCTCTAAGCCTTCAGACCTTTTAATTGGCATGATGGTTCCTGAAGCGGGTTTCGGTCTATGTTTGGAAACCACCAGATGCCATTTTGAATCAACATGGATTGACTGAACCTTTCAAAACTACACTGATTTGGACACATATTAAGATATCAAAACTGCCAGGCTCCCACTACAAGAATTCTCTTCAGAGAAGGACCTGGTCCTCCCAAAACAAATGCAGCAGAGGAGCAGGCTGGATCTGGGGCCTTCATAGTTCAAGGCATCCCACCACCCTTCACAAGACACAGAGGGCCCCTGAACAGAAGCTGAGCTGCTACTGAGTCCAGGGTAGCTCTGGAGCCTATTAAGTGTAGACCTAGTGAGCTGGAGTGCCTGAAGGCTATGAAGGTTCATGCATTAAAGCTTCCAGTTTCTGGAAGGAAGTGCTGGAACAACATAATTGATGTGCCTTGACTGGTCTTGACCGTGGACTGCTTCTGGACCTTGCTTCTTGTGTTACCCTTACGTTCTGGCTTGTGAACAGACCTTTCTTTTTTTAAGGACTACTAGAGCTGAAGCAGGACAGTAACCAATTTTTGCATGATGGCTGATGGGATTGAGGAGAACGTTTTCCCTTCCTCTAAATTTGGATTCAATTGGATGCCATTTTGAATCAAGATGGCAGACTGAATCGTTCTAAACTGCTCACATTTGGACACCTCTAAAAGATATCGTCACCAATGTTTGAGGCCTACAGCTGTGCTCTGGATGTGGATCTGAAAGCTCATGGTTTAAAGACTCCTTTTCCCATCAGCAATGCTAGAAACTAGCCTCTACAGGTGTCACACACAGCAGGGTTACAGCATCATGTCCAGAACATTTGCTTTCCTCCACTACGAAATCTCAATGAGTGTTGGGTATATAGTGCTAAAATGTGAAACACAGAGAGTGGTACTCAATTATGTCTTACTCAGAGTAGACCTATTGAAACCAATGGCCCTAACTTTGTCATGTTCATTTCTATCCCACCCTTTTTCTCCATGGAGCTCAAGGTGGCCTGTACATGGTCCTCCCCCTCCTCATTTAATCCCCACAACAACCCTGAAAGGTAGATCAGGCTGAAAGGCAGTGACTGGCTCAAGGTCACCCAGTGAGCTTCATGAAGGCCGAGTGGGGATTTGAACCCTGGTCTCCCAAGTTCCTAGTCCAGCACTCCAACCTCTACGACAGTCATAGGCAACCTTCAGCCCTCCAGATGTTTTGGCCTACAACTCCCATGATCCCTAGCTAATAGGACCAGTGGTCAGGGATGATGGGAATTGTAGTCCAAAACATCTGGAGGGCCGAAGGTTGCCTATGCCTGCTCTACGACACACTGGTCTACTCTGAATAAAACTTAGCTGAACACCACCCAGATCTTGGTACATGATCACAAAGTACCTGACTGCTTTAAGCAAGTCACAAGCACCATACATTGTAGAATATACTGGAATGGGATTTTATATTCAGACTGAATACTTCTACAAAATCAACTGATGCCTTTCAAGGCTTCAGGATGCTCAGTTTCCTTCAGAATATCTCGCACAACTAATTAACCAATAATACAATAAAAAGCATTCATTACGAAGAGCCAAGACATTGCACTACTAATTTGGAAGCACAGGTTTTTCTTTGGGCTAGGGTAGTTGGATCATAATTTTAAAAGCAAGACCGTGGAACTTCTGTGAAATTATGATGAATCCATTATGCCCTATAAATACAGGGCATTTTAATCGCAATTACAGCTGGGGATGGAGTTACCCTGCGACAGCAATCTTGTTATTGCATGCATGCAAGCCACAGGATGGAGTGCATATTGGAAGAGGGGGAAAGAAAATGTGAACACACTTTCTAAGTCCCCCCACCCCGGGAAAGCCAATATTACATTGGATCTAAATGCCACCAGCTCATGCTTTGAGGCAGCATCACTCCTCCCTGAAGTGATGAAGGCTGGCTGCTTTCGGAAGTGCTGGATTTGTCAAAACCATTGTTGCTCAAATGCTGTTAAAAGAACTTGGAAACTATAACAAAATAATCATTATTTTTAGATGGGAGGATCTTCCTACTAAAGGAAAGCAGGATTTAAGCATGCAGAAGGGAAGAGAAAAAAGTGAGGGTCGGAAACAGGGAGTGTTGGGAAGGTTTGTTTTTTGTTTTGCAATTGAAAAAAAGAGAGAGTCAAACAAGCTCATTCCACCTAGTGATGTCTTGACTAAGCCACGAAAAAAGGGGAGGAGAAGGAAGGGCCCTTAGAAGCTCCAGCGCCTGCAGGTACTCACCAAGTGGAGGGAAGCCCCGAGCAGGGCTTGTATCTCGGCTGCTCTCACGGCTGGTATCGCGGCTGCACCCCTGACTCACGCTGGGTCGGGGGATACGGCTGCTCCGTGCTAGCATGCAGCAGGGAGGGTTTCAGAGAAGGTGAACACAAGTTTAATGAGGACACAAAGCTCAGACAGGAAAGTCACATTTATGGTCATTATTGACATCAGTAAAAAAGGAAAATCATGGGTGGCGGCAGCCAACTCTGACTGGCCACAGACCAACCGCAATGCATGCCAAGTTGCGCTTTATTGTGTTGCAAATCAGCACACCTGAGAGGCCTGCCTGGCAGGCAATCCCGGTTGGTGTAAGTGGTAAAGGGACAGAAGGTCTTAGTTGGAAAAAGAGAGGGTTAGACTTTTGCACATACAGAGATCATGCCAAACTGCTGAGGCTGAAAGAAACATTGTGGGAAAGAGATATGCTTTTAGAGGGATAACCAGATCAACAAGGATTTAGCCATGAACCACTAAAGAAAGGCCACTTTTACAACAAGGGGGGGAAAAGGTCTTTTACAAAGACTTGTCATACTAATAGACAAATAATGTCAAAGGAGGGTAAGCAGGACATTTACCTATCTAGAACCTTCTCAAAATATGCTATTATGATGATCTCCCTGATCGGTCAGCATTGGTGCAGGTACGCTTGCAGGATTCCCTCTCCTCTCTGCCCTTCTTTTCTCATCAAAATCCGGCATGCCTACTCAAACATGAAGTGGAATCTATTCCTTTGGGTTTCTATTCAACAGCACAGCCCAAATCCAGTTATTTGTTGGAGAAGAATACAAATAAGCACCTGGAGACCACCAAGACTGAAAGGTGTCATGTATGACATTACAGAGCCCTTCAGTTTGAGAATAAAGAACATGGACTGAAGATGAAAACCAAACAACTGGTGCATCATTTGCTTCCACAAACCCATCCTGTTATTGCAAACTCTGGATCAGTCCACAGGCTCAGTGAAACAATGATCTGAATACTGAGGCTGAATCATAAAATTGTGAACTGAAGTGCGGTCTGACTGAACCAGTTTCCAAACAGGGACAGTGGCAGACCTACATTTTTGCTGCCCTGAGGTTTGAACTGTTATGCGGGGCCCTTTGGAACCAGCATTGAGGTCTAGGTAACCACTATGATCTTCTTCAACTTAGGGATTGTTCCATGACAGATCACCACATTTAAAAAAAAAATAACTTCTATGCCTCAGATTTTGATTAAAATTTATGTGCTGAAATATCTCACATGTTAAAATCACTGGTGTGAACAAAAAATTTCCTACGCCTTATAGTTTTCGAGTTATGGGAGGGAAACGTTATATACATGCATGATTAACTTTTTTAAAGCAATGTGGACTATAGCTGCTTCTGGGGTCCCTCTGGGATTAGGAGCCCTGAAGCTTAAGCTTCGTTAGTTTCATCCTAGATGCGCCCGAGATCAGGGATAGGGATCTGCTTGTAACACGTGATTCTCAGGATGCAGCAAGAGAAAGCAGAAACAAATCTGCAAATCTATAAAAATTCCATTCTGTTCATAAATAGATAACCAAGAGTGCCTGAGTAGCAGAAAGCGTTCCACCAAGTGTGAACTATTCATGACAAAAATAAACAGCTGGAGAAAAATGCACAGGGAGGTGCACTCTATATAGATTGCACTATGATGGGTGACTTGATTAAATGCCACTGTAAATATCCATATGGCTTTAGAGAGGATGTGGCTTATTAGAGAGTATTCACAGGCATCCATTTTCAGCTTTCTGGTATCATCCAAACTGCCTATATACTGAATTCTTCACAGATGACATTTAAATAAGGCCACTACCTGACCAAATTTTAAGATGGGCTGAAATGCCTTTTTTTAAAAAAAGTTCTGCTTCATTGCTAGCCTATAGATAAATCTATTTTTTTCATGTATTTAAATGAAAATGTAATATATAAGCAAAAATAACAATTGCATGTATTTTTTCCCCACCACAACAAAAGTGACGCTGTATCCAAAGAGGACTCAGACCTTACTCTGGAGTTCATTCTGCTCTGAACAGATGTCTTAATTTGGGTTCATGGGAATCTAGTTTGTTTTCCTGGATCAACGGACTCTCAACAAAATTACAGTTTTCTCATTGTGATGACTGCCCTGGTTATCAGCGTGGTATTGATGTCCTCTGCCATTTTCTTAAGAATAGCTATGCCCTTCTTTATCTTGTTTTCCTTGTCTGCGTTTTGACTTCCTTCTCTGTGCATACAACCAGAAAGCCTGTCCCCAGATCTCTTCTAGAGAGGTAACCTCACATCCCACATTACTACTAAGGCTTTGATTCCCTCTCTCACTCACCCCACTTGCCATCTCATAAATCTGGTTAAAATTTCTGCTCAGATCTTGTATGCCTTCTGTGCTGTCATTCTATCCTGTATATTGAGCTCTGACCCTGTATGTGTCTCCCCCTCCAGTCCCACCTACTTTCCCAATTCCACTCTTGCCTGTTTACTCCTGGAATTCTGATATTGACTTTGACTTTAAACTGTTTCCAGTTCTACTCTGCTACTCTGAGATCTGGAGGTCTCAATTGCAGTTCTGGCCAGCAGGACCCGATTCTATGCTGATGAATTGTAATGTAAACCAGAACTCCTACCTTCAAAATAAAACCTGCCAAGGCTACCATATTTTTTACACTGAAAGCAGGCAGCCTGGCTTGAACATCAGATGTCTCTGATAACTGGACAGCTGCTTTTACTGAGCCATGGAACGTGCACAATGGTCCTACATATGTTCATTTGTGGGGAGGGGAAGCTACAGAATAAGTTGAATAGTTACTTGAATGGTAAACAGTGCACTAATAGGTTCGATTTTCAAGCAGAGGCAACAACATGATATATATTTATACATATTTTTTTTCCTAAGGGAAGGTAGAGAAAGAAAATGTTAGCATTCACCAACATCAACATGAACTATGAAGTAGCTAAATTCTGTCTTAATGCTCTTGACAGTACATTTGAAATGATAGGATGGAATTAAATCATGAGAGTGGCAACTGGTTGTTGTTGTTTTTTAAAAAACAAGTATTATTTTCTGATTAATGTTGGGTTTAAACCTGGGCAACCTCCACCTAAGGTGGCTTCACCTAAAGTTCTACTAGTGTGGAATTAGGTGGTAGTTTTACTGATTCAGTGGAAAAGATGGCCTTGCCATTTCAAAGTGCTCTCTCAACAGATTCCTCTTTCCTCATTCTGGAGTCACAGAACTTTGTGGACATGTTAGCATGACTCTGAAAGAATGCAAATCACTAATAAAGTACTTAGGGTGCACATTTAAATAAGGCCATCATAGCCACCATGTTATTGTGGTAATACCAAGTACCATGCCGTGTTTCTTCAGTCTCTTTGTTCTGCACCGAATCCAATACAAATCTTACCTAGACCTATCCTGTTTGGACTGGTCTCTCGGCTGCAGCCCTGGCTTCGAGGGACCTTGCTGCGTTTTTCAGCAGGGGATGGCGCTGGGTGTCCTCTGGTTGTTCCACTGCTCAGTCCACCGTATGCGCTTCCCAAAAGCTTGCCAGGGGAACTGGATCGACTGCCAGCTAGACAGGAACCACAGATATAAAACAAAAATATTCAGCTTATCTCAAAATGACTAAATCTGCCCGGTTCCATTTAATTAAAAAAATATATCAAAAACAAAATTAAAGCAGCAAAGTAAACCCAGAAGCCGCCCATTTGTTAATAAACATGTCTGATCACTTCTGAATTACGCATTTCCAAAATTAGGGTGGATTGAGAGGAAGTACCTTCCTTAAACAAATACCCAGCTCACACATAATGAGGCACTCCTACAAACCACAGTTTGTGCATGAAAGAAAGCTCAAGGGCCCCCTGTTTCCACCTCCCCCATTCTTTTCTACTCTCATACACCCAGGCTGCGGACTAGAGGATACCTCCTGATTTCTTAAACCACAATTTCCCTTCATGTCCAACCAGGAAATATGATTTTATGAAGGCAGAAAGGGATCCAAAGAACTGCTCAGCTCACACAAGGGACTTGTAGCAGCCCAGTGGATTTTTTTTAAAAACTTTTTAAAAACTCTTCCAGACTGCCTTGTGTTACCACAAAACCTACTTTTAAAAATCTCTTCAGTTTCAAAAGCACTTTGCAATGCTGGGAAGTGGGCTCCTGTTAAAAAAATAAAAATCTAACTGAACTCACCATGCTAGATGCAAGATCCTTTGATCGTGAATTCATCTTTAAATGCTTTGCTACTAGTAAGTAGGTTCTATACATCTTGAGGCATCTTGCATACTTGTTTAATTGAACCTACAATTAAGAATGTTTTTCCCAACCAAGGAACTACAGTTTAAACCAGTGCTGCTGCTTCTGTTGTCTGAACAAGCAGCAAACATTTCATTTTTATTATTTTAAGAACTTCTAAACCTCCTCTATCCAGCAAAGAGTTATTCATGGTTGTTCACAAAGCCTTCTGTTTTCCATTTGAACATTTGAAGAGGTGACCAAAAGCCCTGCGGTCTTTTTAGCAGAAGCCCTAAAGCACACTTAAAAGGGAGCAAGCCCCATTGAACATAGTGGAGCCTACTTCTGAGTAAACATGCGTAAGATTGTTCTGCTAATTCATGCCAAACTACCTGGAGACCATATAGAAAACCACATTCCTGATTTGTATGTACATTCAGAAGATTTGGGCTCTTGCTTATATGGGTCTCTGCACCTTATCTTCACTCTATAGTCTACTGTACAAGACAAAAATGCCAAATCTTACTTCCAATTTTTCCTTCCAAAATTTACACTGAACTTAATCTCACATGCATCAGCAAGACTAAGCTGCCCAATCAGAGCTGTGTCAGAAGAAAGTCCTACTGAATTAAGCAGGGTTTACTCCCAGGTAGTGGTGTTAGGATTACAGCCTAAATTAGGCTGATGGATAAAAAAGAACACCTAGTTTTTAATAGTCATAGCAGCTGAAAGTATGAAATGTTTTTATATATGCACAGGTATTCTAAGTACCTAATGTGTATACCAAAAGCAGTCCAAGTCTGAATTCTCATTTTAGGGGCACTGGGGGGATTAAAGAGGGCAAGTATCCTGAATATTAAAATAGTCAAAAACAGTAGCGTGAAAGACAGCACAGACATGGAAACAGGAGTGAAAAAACAAAGAAGGGGTTCCTTACCACCAGCAGGGTTAGCTGATCTGGATCCTGGATTATGAGAGCAGACCAAAGGACAGGCAGAGAGTGAATTAGAGAAAGCGAGACAATACAAAGTTCAAGAAGCATTGCTAGTTGCACACAATACCAGTTGCTTTTTGACAGACACATCACTGCTTGCACCATGCAGTATATTACACAGGAGGCCTTTCTTGCCAGCATGTCCACAGAGACACCTATTACCTGCACTTATGAGCTGGCAAATGACCACTTGGGGGTCAAGCAAAAAGAAATGTAGTGCCAGCACAGAGCCTTCATCAATGGTATCACAAGCTGGCCTTGCACAGCAATTAGATGCAGTGTAGCAGGACATGCAAAGCTGTTTCAGGTCACAGACAAATTACTAGCATGTCTGCACTGGGAAAAATAGTGGGTCCATGATCCAACATGCACATCAATCATCCCAAAGCCAGCTTCTTCAGCACATCCCCGCCCCCAACGCTTTGTCCCCTTAATAATGTATTGATTTTGTTAAGGATTTAGAACACAAAGAAAGATACCAGTAAGAAAACAAAAATGATCAAGAAACCAAGAGCAGCCCCTATAGCTATATTGCTCACTAGCAATCGCTTATAATGGGTTTGCAACTTTCACAAGCAGGATAGTAAGACTGGCCTGCCAAGCACCCAATGAAAGAACTGCAAGATTCAAAGATTAGGGCTCTGACAATCAATGTAAAAAACACAACATCAGGAGAACTGGCATTCTGTCAGGGTCAGAGGGAATGCTCATACCATGCAACATAAAAAACTTGTGAATATGCTACTGGTAATATCATTTTTCTCTTTATGCAAATACACTACATTAAGCACCTAATCACTATTTTACACATTCTACATTATCCCTTCTTTAGAATTATTTTCACACACCCAGCATGTCAGCTTAATTGAGAGATGCCCCAGGTGATCAGGAATTGGAGTGACTAACAAGATGCAAATTAGCAAGTATCATATGCTCTTCCCCTTAACTGATCAGTAATCGCAGATCATACAGTACAGTAACAAAGGATCAGAGAGCCAGCTATTATTTATGACATATGGGAATCCATTTTATTTTCTTCAGCCGTCATCACAGATGCAGACCTTTCTGCACAGTGTCAGCACTCAACCAGTCCAGCCAAAGTCCCACCTTCCTACTCTCCGAAAGACATGCTCCCATGATGCTGGATGAATTACAGGATGAATTGCACAAGACATCCCAGAGAAATGGATAGGGCCTTATTTAGTGGACCTCCTCTGGGGTAAAAAGAGTAGGAAAGCCCTTTACAAGTAAGACAGGCAGACACCACAGATTAGAAGCAGCTTCTAATGAAGGAGTATTCTTCCATGCTTAGCACAAAGGAGTTCATGAATGTGTGAAACACAAGTGAACAATTCAAGCAGCATATTAGGAGATAAATATACGTGATCATAATGAAAGAGGATGGGAATGTACACAGGGATGGTAACCATTACCTAGAGCCCTCAAATATCCTGATATTTCTATATCAGTGTACCATTTAATAATGAATTGGAGTCCTAGTCTTGGATAAGGCTGTTCCACACAAATGATATATACTGAACGAAACTGATTGGAGTGAATGGAATACGTGCTTTCTACGAGGACAGGCAATGAAAACGAGCTGGAAAAATATAAAGCCTCCTCAACAAAACAAAGCTAAATGGCTTCTTACGCTGGGACTGTGAAACTACTTTAGCCCGGCTGCGGCCTCGAGTGTCAGCAGGTGATGAGGTGATACTGGTGGTACTTCCAGAGCTTTGCCTCCTTGTGCGGATCCGACCTAGGGAAAAGGGAGGAAAGAAGCAGCAGTTAATTAATCCAAGTGATTTAAATATCTTATCCTCTCACCAACACATTCAAATTGGGATGAACAAATCTATAACAATCATAATACTTGTACTAAAATGAAAATGCATCCCATTTTACTAGTGTTAGAAATACGGTTAAAACCGCAATATCAAAACCAGGAATGAATATTTAGGTGCAAGCCAATGGAACTTCACCTCTCTCCTCTTCCTGCAGCCCCCAAAATCTGCCCTAGAGGCTTTTACAATCATCTGGAGAAGATTTTGATGGGGCATAGAGGACTCCAGTGGGGAGGAGAGGATAGTAAAGTTCTGTTGTGCAAATGAAACTTGTTCTGCTTACACACATATAATGTTGGATACAACCCTTTGCATTTAACAGGGTACATATAGAACACCCAAAACAATTTGTATCAAAATGTCACAAGAAAAAGGAAAACAACAAAGTTCATTCCTAAATTAGGGGAGATAAAGAGGTTCTGGGTGTTAATGGCTGATCTTCAAAATTATTATTGAATAAGACTAGGCAATATTATTCCTGCTTTACAGATAGGATGAAGAAGTCCCTGTGTGTCTCCAGAATGTTCTAGCAGAACAACTTCTCAAGAATGGTCTTGCAGCCCAGTTATGGCCAGTGGAATCAGTAAGCACAAAGCACGATGATCCAATTTTTTCTGACAAATCCTGAAGGACTCTACCTCAGTGGTAGAGCATCTACTTTGCACAGAGAAGCTCCCAGTCCCCAACATCTACAGGAATGCCCCACGTCTGAAGCCAGGGAAAGCTACAGACGATACTAAGTTAGGTGAACCAATGGTCTGGCTCAGTATTAAGGAAGCTTCCAAAGTTCCTATGATAATACAAGGAAAGCAACAGCAATGTACCATACTAAACTTTACAACTCTGTCATTATTCCCCCTCCCCTTCACTAGCAAGAAAAAGCTGCTTCAACTATTATCAGCATAACTGCTTCAGCTGCCCTGAAAGTGTGAATTAACAGAAGATGACACCAACAGATGTACCATTCCTTCATAGGCTGCATCCCATCAGAGCCCAACCCACCAGCACCACTGGACCATTTGATTTTGTTGGACTCCTACACCCCCTTAGCCACTAGAGCCAATTGTCAGGAATAACAGGAATTGTAGTCCAACGTCTGGAGGGCACCAGGTTGGCTACTCCATGATTACTGCTGCTCCTCCTAATAATAATAATAATTTTATTATTTATACTCCACCTCCATCTGGCTGGGTTTCCCCAGCCACTCTGGGCAGCTTACAGCATATATAAAAACGTAGTAAAATATCAAATATTAAAAACTTCCCAATACATGGCTGCCCTCAAATGTCTTCTAAAAGTCTTAGTCTGTCCTACCTCACAAGGTAATTATATCTACTATCTTCTCTTTAAGCTACAGGTTAGTCTAAAAATAACCAAATTCAGTGCAACTGCTTAGTCTGGCTTTGGCTATTCAGCAAAGTCAGCCATTTTTGCAGTTGCCATTAGAAATATGATAGATTTTTTTTTAAGAATAAAAAGTTATATTTCCCAAGGGGATCCCCTTACTCTCTACTACAAATATTCTGTTTCTTCTACCTTTCTATTCCAGCGCTATTTCAGAAAGCACACCTTTCACAATAACGAAACTATTTCCAACACCATGAAAAGGTAAACAGAAAACAGCACTATTTAAAACAATCCCATAATATTTGTACTGTTAAAAATAAAACAAAAACATACTTAAGAAATTTAGAAACGATTAAAAACATCTAAAATATGTAAAAGCATTAAGAAAATCAAGTAACAGGTAAAGCAGTCATAGCTAATAAATTTCAAGGTTGCCAGGAACTGTACAATGAAACAAACTATTAGCCATTAAAATGTTACTAGTTCTACACAATTAATAAATAAAGCAGAGGCCTAGGAAGGCCACTGGGCAAAGAACCAGAATAACCTTTTTATGCCCTTTTCTTTCTTTTTTTTAAGCAAGCTTTTTCTACGGAAATGAAAGAGCCCAACGTTTCCAGTTACAAAAACCAGGTAAACCCTCGGCTGTGCGGTGATATTCATGAAGTGTTCAACACGCTAGGCTAGGTTCACAGAACTACTCAGAAACAAAATGTTCCACTAAGTATTATGCCTAATGACAAGGGTGAGCTGAGAGACAAGGTGAAGGGTACTCAGCAGCAGCAGCATGAGTAAGAGGAGAACACCATGGAAGAGGTCATGCAAAGGCACCAGTGAACACAGATGAAAATCAGGGACCACTTGGGTGATAACAGAGAACTGGTGTAAGAGCCAGAGACAGACCTCAGTTACACAGAGACTGCTTACCCTCAGGTTTACTGGTAGTACCATCTTTAAGCAAATTTAGAAAAAAAAATGAGAGGGATAACAGGGAAAGTTAGTAATATTCAGCAGAAGTGGGCAGTGTGTAGTTAGCTACAAAAACAAGGTATAACTTTCAGTTGAATTAAATGAATAATGTTAGTTAAACAGAAATGCAACATCTGTGCACCTGAAGCCGGAATTATCGTAATGCATACATGGGTAACCGCACAAGGCTGCTACCACCCCCAGATATTTATGACATTTCCTAGTCCTCACTTGGGTTGTCTTTCTTTCGATTCCCCCCCCCCCTTTTCAATTTCATCAGGCTTTTAGTTTGCTTCCTTTTCTGCCACCTGGCTTTTAAGTGTGTTGCACGGTGGATAAGATTGTTTTAAAACTTCATGTAAACCTGTTAGAGAGGCCTATACTACCAGAGTATACAAGTACCATGAACACACACACACACACACACACACACACACACACACACAAATTCGGTCATTTGTTTAACCAGACTGCTTCTTACAGCAGAGATCGTTATGACAATAGCTCCACCTGCTGACAAATAACCCCATGATGCTTTCAGCACATTTAATTGGTGACATCCAGTGTTATTCCCAACGCTCCCGTTTGCACAACAGAAACCTGATTGCACAATAGGACAATCAGGATTTATTTTCTCCTCCTTCCGTAGCAGATTTGGGGAGGAAGGAGCAGGGCTGTGGGGGAAGACATGCATTGGATCTCACCCATTATGGTTCGTTAACACAAGTGTGCATATGAGCGATCTTGCAAAGGCTGCTGGTTGTGTGAATGGCTCTTAAGGAACTGTCTCCGAAACTGCCTGCCCATGCACGAAGTATGGAAGGGAAGAAAGAGAAGCTTGATGTCTTTTCACTAGAGTGTGTGCTCTACTCTTTTTTAATACTGAAGAAATACAATTAGCCTATTGCTGAGGAGGGGACACTGTCAAAATGCAATTCTCTAAACCAGCGGAAGTAATACAGAACTAGTTTGTTTGTGAACCACTTGTCTTTGCTTCTGTGTTTCCCTAATACTGGGCCCGCAAGTTCTTCTTAAATAAAAAGGTGCTTGTGGAAATGCAGGCATTGCATACTTGGTCATTAGAGAGCCCTTCTGCAGAAACTGACCATGGTAAGGTGATGTGCGCTCTAGGTGTCGTAACTACTTGGATGCTGCCAAATAAAATTAGACAGTCACAGATTTAAGTACTATCAGAAGAACGCTGCCCCCTTTGAGTGCAGTGCAGACTAAACCAATTGAAAGGAACAGCCTGCTAAGGTCAATAAAAGTTGTCTACAATTTAAACTGAAGAAATTTTAAAAAAAATATGATTGGGGTTATTGTAAGATTAGGTGCAAGAAAAGCAGTAACTGAATAAACAAATATACCCACAAAAGTTGACAGATTCTGTGGTGGCACTATTGATTCATGCTGACAAGATTTCCGCTTGAATAATGCAACATGCAAACCAATCAAGAACACAGGAGGACACATAGAAGCCGGTGTGGTGTTGTGGGTAGAGTGCTGGACAAGGAACCCAGGAGACCAGTGTTTGAATCCCCGCTCCCCACTCAGACACAAAGCTTACTGTGTGGCCTTGGGCGAGTCACCAGTCTCAGCCTACCCTATCTCACAGGGCTGCTGTGAGAGTATATATGTACACCAACTACCCTGAGCTCCTTGGAGGAAAAGTGGGATACAAAGGTAATAATACCTAGTTATACTAAGATCACTCAAAGCATAGAGTCATTCAGGGTATTCTCTGGAGAAAAACTAGTCTGTTTCATGCCGGAAATATGCTTCCTGCAGCCTTTAACATTCAGAGGTCATATTTGTTTGTTTTAATTTTGCTCCCCCAGAATGTTAGGCAAAATTTAGCAGCTGCTCCAAATTTTTACACTGGTGGAACTTAGTGGCTGTTTTATCTTGGCATGACTTGCCAAATGCTCACTTATATTGATCCTCCTTTAAACAAAGTTTTCGCCACACTAAGCTGTAATAACCTAATCTTTACAAGAAAAAAGGAGGTGATTTCCCCTGATCTGCACTGAATCCTAACAAATGTATATTAGAGATTAGAAAAGGTTGCATTCTGCAACATCATACCCATCGCACACCTACTGAAATCAATGGATTTGAAGTTAGTCCTATACTCTGATGAAAATGGGATTACTCTGAGTATGACTTAGTGGAATGCAACCCAATAGGGACACCTTCCCTAGATTGCAGCTACTGCATTCTTTCCAGAGAATAACATTTGTTCCTCATGCTGCACAGTCTGAGTTGTCTGGCCGCTCACAGAATTCACAGAAGCCTTGCCGAAGAAAGTGACAGCCATCATGTCAAATAAAACGCCACCACTCCATAAACTGCTCAGGCGCCGTAGATGCCAAACCTATTTCATTTAGCTAATGCTTCTGTAAACAATCCACGAGTTTATTCCCCATGGGACAGTATATACCATTTTCCAAACTATTTCTCTGTAAGGCTGGAACTCCCTAACAAACGCATTCATTTATTCTACTAAATCCTTACATAAATCACTCATCTCCTTTATGGGAAAGCAAATAAGCTTACCTAGAGATGCGTATGAACCCGGGGGCAAGGCTGCTGCTGAGCTGAAGGGGGCATCTGATCCAGAAGTGACTTTAGATTTGGCACTGGCTGCTGCATTCACGTCAATGTCACTGCGAGAACGTTGGAGGGACCCTGATGCAGACACAGATTTTGCACTCACTGTAGAAGCTTTTGAGGAGGGGTGTGGGAAGAGAAATACGTACCGTTAAAGATAAGGATACTCAGGAAGATCAGTTTAGCACAAGTCTTTTTCATTCCTGCCAGGAGAATTGGGGGTGCTAAGACTAAAGACTTTTCCCTACGCCCAAAGAATAATTTCAGGCACAAAAAAGCTCCAGTAAGTTTTATCCTAAGAATTCCCCCCCCCCCATAAAATGGAAAAGTACTATATGAACCTTCGCTTCGAAATAAAACTCTACACCTTCACTATTCTAATGTGATTTTAAATAAGCCTCATGCTTTCTCTTTTTCAGCTTGGTTTTAAGTTCAGCTGAAAATTGTTTTGTTCTAGCTCTACTTTTTGTTGTTCTCTTGCTGACACACAGCAATAGAATACATGAAATGAAAACATACAATAACATACAGCAATTCAGCAATAAAACAGTAAGCCAGAAATCAATCAGTGATAAACACCAGCCATAAAATACAACACACAAGCACAAAACAAGCAATCTGTTCAATGCTCTTCCAAAATTCACCCTCTTAAAAACAAAACAAAAAACAACGGACTGAGAGAGGCATAACAACACTGTAATTCTTGTGGTTGCTATTACAAGTCTTCTTATTTAACAAATAAACTGTGTTAAAATCAAGCTTTTTACGTCTTTTAAATTAATGTGTCATACCAAATTAAAGTAAACATATTTGTGCTCTTTATCCAGCTTCTTCCTCTCCCTTCCTATTTGGCAAAATAAAGATCTCCCTCACATTCAGTCAGAGAAACGGCAACATGATTATGGCCCTTTCAAGGACCTATCAGGTACCCTTTTGCCAGTGTTGTGTTAACTATTCTGTATGTAATCTCAGCTACTGAGGTCCTTCCAACCCAGACCATATGTGTGTTAACCAGAAACTCATCAAAAATCTAAGGTCTTCCCCGAAGTGGTGACCATTGTTTTGGACCACCGATCCCATAAGCCCCAGGCAGGGATCAGGGGTGATGAGGGCTGTAGTCCAACAACATCCAGAGGGCCACAAGTTGGGGAAGGCTGGTCTAGATTGGTGGACCTTGGTTTCTCAGTTACATGAACCACCCAGACTCTGTTCTGTTTAAAATATAGGTTTTCCTACCTCCACTCAAATCTTTATTCTCAACTAAATCATACTGCTGCTCTGATGTAGCTTCTGTGAGAAGAAAATTTGATGGAGTAAGTTAATGCTACCTATCTATTAGATTGCTACTACAGCTTATTATTACTAAAAGAATAAGGCTTCTGCAGATACCCTTTGCCGTTCTGGATGGCTACTACAGGAATACTCAATTCAGTTTGAGGGAGTATATTTGTGGGGAAGATATAGTTGAGGATTCATCTCCCTATTTGTTGGCAGGCCCTATTTTTAAGGATGTAGTTGAAAAATCTTACAAAAATTGCAACAAGACGACCGAATTTCTCTTGGCAAACAGAAACAGGCACATAAATAAAAAGGTGGCCTCATTTGCTTTTGTTGCAATGACAATACATGATTAAAACGTTTTTAGAAGAATGTGGTGGGTGTTAGCTGTTGCATTTTTAAAAAAAATATTTTGCTTGCAAATGATTGCAGTTTTCTTATGAAGAGTGGTATAAATAAACTTAATCGCTTACTATATCTAATGATGTTACTATATTTACTGTGCGTACTGTAGTGCACGTCCTGTACTGTCCGAATCTACAACACATTCAAAATAAACTGAAGAAACCATGGAAATCTCTGGCAATTGTAATAATTCTGTCTAAAAGTTTCTCATTCATTCATCTGCAGTTCTGAGCACCTGAATAAGACATTTGTTCATGAAGCTAGGAAAAGTTAGAATGAAGACTTCAAGCTCTTCCATTCTCAAAAGAAACCCGTTTTGTGGACAGGGTGGCAGACATGAAGTACTGTGAGTTGCATCAGAAAACAATGGAGAATTACTCTCAGTATTCACAGTGTCCCTAGGAGCCTGGTTGCTGGCATCCCTTAATACTTGCGGAATATGAAATCCTAAGATTTGTCTAGATCAGCCTTTGCCAAACTAGTGGCCCCCAGATGTTTTGGTCTATGACTCTCATCATCCCTGACTAATGGGCACATTGGCTAGGCTGAGAGAGGTTGTAACCAAAATATCTGGAGAGCACTTGGTTCGTAAAGGATGACTTAGAAATTAATGCAAAATGTATCATGCCTGTCATAAATTTTCATATATTAGTGATTTGTTGCTGTCTGTCATAAGTAGCACTGAGGCCAATCTAACGAAGACATTCCAACTGATTTTAAGGAGCTTAATAAAGAATGATCTTTATCAAAACACTGTCTAGCTCAAAATGCCTTCACGGATGAACATAATTCATATATTTTGCCAAGTGTTGCTTCAAAGTTATTAAGTGAGAATTTACTCCTGCAGAACAAATCTTGAGACTAATCTGCTCTCGGAGTTCTGTTGCCATTTATCCCAAAACATTTTCCCACTTCGAGGCTGCTTCATGAAAGGTAGCAGCATTTCTGAGCAGCTGCTCCCATACTGAATTAAGCTAGTACTACCTATTCTGTCTAGCAGTGCCTGACAAGGGTCACTGAGCAGAACTGTTTCTTGTCGGCTTGACACGAGGAGCATTTGCAGGGAAGGTGGTGCTTCACCTTTCCCATACCGCCCCATTCCCACTCCCACTTTAGACCCAGTCCTCTCAATTTTCACCTCGCGATGTAGTGCTTCCAGTTGGACTTCTTTTGGCAGACAGCGGACGACTAAAAAGGAGGAGAAAGAATGGATTTAAGAACAGGTTTTCTTTGAATCCACAAATGGCAACACTTCCAAAAATTGTTATCTCGGAGGCTTAGGAGGCTCCCTCCCCTCCCCACATTCATTTACAATTGATTACAACAATGCATGCCTGCACTGTCCACAGATTCCAACAGATGAAGAACATCAACGTTAAAAAGCGTTCTGCCCACCTTCCCTATTTATAGAAGGTTCCATCTCCCATGCTTTTTAACTTCTATAAGAAACTGCTGAGAAAGGTCATAGGAAGATCCAGACCAAAGTGTCACCTTGGGATTTTGTTTTCATCAGATCCCAGGTGTTGGCCCTCATCTTTAAAGCCCTGCGCACCTGGGAGTGGAGCATTTCCAAGGACCACCTTCTCTCACATGTTCCCTCCCACATGGTCCAATCCCACTCCAGCTTCCCTTGCAGAATGAAGCTCGGGGGGCAGGGCCTTTTAAACACCAGAATGCTCTCCCTAAGGAAGCTAAAATGGACTCAACGTTTCAATGCTTCATTAAAACGTGGCCTTTTAGGGAGCTGTTTGGAGTAGACTGATGAACTCTGGGATTTATTCCTGTCTGCTGTGATAAGAGGCAGATGCACACTGCTGGATTATGGTTTTGTTTGCAATAAATGTTAATAATAATAATAATAATAATAATAATAATAATAATAATAATATATTTATACCCTGCCCATCTGGCTGGGCTTCCCCAGCCACTCTGGGCGGCTTCCAACAAAATATTAAAATACAGTAATGCATCAAACATTAAAAGCTTCCCTAAACAGGGCTGCCTTCAGATGTCTTCTAAAAGTGTTCATCATGTGAATGTTTAATGTTTTACTGCAAGCCGCTTCATTATTTTTTTAATGAAGAAAAAAGCAGGGTAGAAAACTCTAAAATGAACAAACAAGCTAAATTTTGGATCGCATGTGAAATCAGAACAATTAGATCAAGTTCCTATACATGAAACCAAGCGACAATTCTCAGAATCCAGAAGCGGTACCAATTCAGCAAATGAAACTGAATGTTTAAAAAGAAAATGGGGAAAGGTCATATTTTGTTAGTATTAACACTGTGACAGCTTACTTGAGACTCTCCTGGGAGCTAGAAGAGGAGCGGTCAGACTGAGGCAAGGACACTATGCTGTCAGAGTTCTTCAAGTCAGACTGCAGGGCTTTCTGGTATGAGGACTCCAACGAATTGAACAGATGCTCTGCTTCTCGGCTAAAATGGCTGTGGAAGCCCCAGTAACACCTGAGGATAAAATTTCAAATCAATCACTTAACACGACATTAGCGCAACAGAACTTTAGCCCCAGAGAAGCTGCTCTGTTGAAAATCCAGACAAAATTTAAAATGGCAGTGGTGGTGGGGAATCAACTTATGGAATCAAAACCAGCATATTTACATCCATTTATTTCCACATAAATTATTTATGCCTCCACACATTGGTCCATACATCACACTTTACACCACCGTTAAAAGCAAACTGTGCTTTATTGTAAACAAGATGCATGCTGCTCACAAGTTCTTCCTCCGGTCTTCCCCCGCTGCTGTTGGGAAATGAGGCAGAGTCTGGCTTGTTGCAACATCTGAACCAGGCCTCATGGTTTGCTCCTCAAAAACAAATTGTGAGCGGTAAGCCAAGAACAAGCCTTGGCTTCCGCTTGTGGTTTGTTTGCAGCAAAACAAACCATGAGCCCAGATTTGGACAACATGAGAAACCTGGCAGCTGCAGAACTAGGGGAGGACGACAGCAACAACTTATGAGCATCCTGCATCTTGTTCACATTTAAACTTTCACTAGCTTTTCACACTAGTTCTGATGTTCCCGGCAGGAAAAGAAATTAACAGGAAATGAGAATAAAGATTCAGGGATAATTGCGCTTCCTACTGCAAAATAAGAATATATCTCAATGGGGAGTACAACATACACTAACATAGCCTACCACTTTGTCACTACACTGGGTTTAACCATTGCAATTGGACTTTTCTTGCAGTTTCAGCTAAGGCAAGCAATAATCCATGAAGACTGAGGGATCCAGCATTGATAAGGAAAAACTGAATTCTAGTGAAGTCCTCAAAAATATTGGGTGGCAAGAGAGAAAGGCATTAGAATGCAAATGTCTGACCTTTAAAGAACCACTGAGCAAACAGATCTTTGAAACTGACACAACTCTCTTGTGAAAATAGATGAATCTTCCAAACAACTTACACCAAAACAAGGCAAAGCTATTATTAACAATACAGTCCTCTAGCATGCCTACAGTAGTCTCTTTCTCTCCCTTTTGCATGTGAGTTCCTGAAGGCATGATTCTGCCCTCACTAAGTGACATCAAATTTCATGAAACTGCTGCAGACTTTAATAGCCTTGAATTCAGCTGCATACAACGTTCCTTGATGGAATCTGCAATGGAGGGGAAAAGACACCCACTTACTTTCTGGCTTTTATCCGTGCTTCAGAGTCAGCATCGTGGATTCCCTTCTTTAGTGTTTCAGCCAATACTGATATGTGCCTGAGATTAGAAAACAACATCATTTACCAGGCCGCGGGAGGGGGGGGGGAGATACTCCAGCGCCACTGCACTTTGGGGCCATAAAAAGTTTGTCCATCTTGCCAGAATAAAAACAGCATGCTTTGCTAAGCCCAGATTTCTACACAATATCCTTTTTGAGGATGTGGTTGCTTACTTGTGCCAGTCAGCTTTATTGCATTTGCCTCTCTTGTATTCAAAATGCCAAGAAACATTCTTCAGAGGTCAATCCTGAGTTACTTGGAAACCACAGAAGCATAAAAGTACAGAGATGCTAAAATGTGCATATGCTGCTGAAGCCATTTGGGAATCAATAGGGTTTACTTGCTGGGGGAAGCGGAACAAACATCTTTGGCACCATAATCTACGTTGTATCGTGCTGGTGACACCAACTGGTTAAGATAATGTGACAGCACAAAACGTTCAGGGAACAAAGCTATCAAAACAATTTGGTGGTCCCGTCTGTACGCAACATGAGCTCCCACAGAGCAGATCACAGTTGCTTCGCTCCTACATCTGTTCTGCTTCTGTGCTGAGCTAAGCCACAGTTTAGCATGTAATCCAAAATGGGATTGTGATTTAGGTTTGTCCTGTGGATCATGGTTTGCCTTAGACAACTACATCACGAGCCTGGATTTCGACAGTGTGCGTGAAACCAAACCATGGCTTAGGTAAGTGAAAGCACAGTGGCAGAACAACCAGAGGAGCAACATGCTGATCGTGATCTCCTTTCCAGGAGCCTGCACATTTGCTCCTTTGGCTTAATAGTCATAGTTTGGCTTAATGTTACATGGGAATGAGGTCAAGTCTAATGTGCAACTTCTGTGAGGAAAAGGGAAGTGGTCAGTTTGGTTGAGATTAAACCATCACAAAATCCCTAGAGACAGATTCGGGTGATATAGGATACGACAAGGAGCCAGTGAAATATCCTTTGCAGTGAGGAAAATATAGCTGTAGTGATGGGAAATATAGGCCTAATTGACTTCTTTTCCATGCATTTCATTCTCCTTCCTCACTGAGAAAGGGTGAATTGAGACGTACCATATTCAGCTGTAAGCGTGGTATCTCCCAGGCAATCTGTTCTCCTTTTCATTCCAGATGGGCAATATCAAATTTAGCTAAATTAACTCTCAACCCAGCATGTGGAGAACTAAGAAAGGCATTAGGATTCTTCCCCTCCTGCCCTGAAAAGTGGAGCTCTCCTGCCACAAGGTATTAGGCAGCAGAAGACTAAGATTCGCCTAAAGTTCCCAGAGACAGATACATATTCTGTCAGCACAATACAATATATGCAAGCTGTCTCATCTCCTTAGGGACTATTTTAAGGCTAAGAAGTGTGGATGCTGTCTCACTGACTTGGCTGAAAACTGCAACGTCTTTTTAGCTACTGTGACAATCTCCTTATGCTCTGTACCCCTGCAGATTCTTATAATTCAGCTCTCATCTAAAAACTCAAGTTAGCTTATCCTTTTCAAAACATTTGCAGCTATTACATAAGTAACACAGTTCTCTGGCAACCAAATTCCCCTCTGCCCTGGGCGCTCTACCTTTTGCTTCTAAGCATAAAACACTCACGAACTATTTTCAACTTCTGAACGTGGTCAAAGAAAAATCTTCTTTGTAACCAAGCTGGCTTGGAAATCTTTAAATATCACACTACTCAGCAGTTTTACCTAACAGTGATCCTATAGGCCTGGTGCTAGAACACACACGGGTTAAATTTGATTTCCTCTGCTCCCTTGTTTCTCTCTCCTCTTTTGTTTATTTGTTAATTTAGAATATTTTACTGTGCTCCTCAGCCAAAAATGCTTCACGAGCAGCTTACGTAAGATAAATAAACACACACCTAGTCTGCAGATTTACAATGCAAAAAATACAATACAAGCAGAGAGGAAAAGGAATAAAGAGGGAAGGGGAAAGCAAATAAACTCAGGCACCAATCCTTAAAGTGATGCAGTTCTTTTAAGGACCAGCTGGAATGGAACAGTTCAGGGAGAGTTCCACTAAATGGAACTGGTCTTCCCACAGAGCTGAAGGAGTGGCCCTGCTTCCCAATCAATCCCTCTGCTGGAATAGCTGCTGTCACATGATATCTGCGGGAGTAAGGAGCCCAATGGAGATTGCCTACTCCTCCCAAATGTCGCCAAGTCTATCAGAGACTTCCCTCCGTACCAAAGAAAAAAGGGGGGAAAGTGAGGTTAGAGGGAAGCATGCTTCCTCTATTACAATACACACATCTTACCTTTCTAGGGAGTGTGTTTGCCATTCTTGTAAAAGTAAATATAAAAATTCAAAACAGCGCCTAAGGTATGAACAAATATGGGAAATTACCATTAATTAGGTTATCTTTATAAATACACATACCACATTAAAGGTCACTAAAAGCCACATCTACCAAAGAATATATGCTTCTGGAAAATACTTAGGCTTTTGCAAATTTCTGGGCAATGTGAGTTCTGTAGTTGTGATGCAGTCACTGTAATATTCTGTGTGCCTATCACTATGAGGTTGGATTTTATTTTTAAGTGGGTCCCTCCGGCTGGTCATAGAATGTGGAAGGTTCTCCTTTTGCCTTGAAAGCACATTTTTGTATGTTTCGACCAAAGTCTTGGGCTCACAGAACAAAAACCACACGCAACATTTCATACAGTGCTAAAGTGAGGATCATGTCCCTTGTTGGGATCAACTAGCATTTCAAATGCAGACAGAAATCTTGTTCAGAATGGGTTTTAGGATGGGGGGGGAAATACTGGGGGTTGGGTTTTTTTATACTAATTTAAGTGTGTTACCTCGTTGAAGTGATAGGATTCCATCCCCACCCTGCACCCTTAAGACTGAAGTCTTCTATCCAAGCCAGTTGGAAGCTAATACCAACTTTTGAACATTTCAGGCCACTTTATTTTAACTTACTGCGGATGCTTTTAACAATTGTCAACAACTGTGTGATAGATGCTGCACATAATATAAGAATGAAACAATTAGTGTCTAGAAGGCTTAAAGATTTCTGAAATTGGCAGTTACAGAGATCTAGCTGATTTCCCTTCTTGTGGCAATATATTGAGGGCTCTAGGAAGAGAAGTAGGGGCATCTCCACTGTTAATTTGATCTGCAGAATTTTGGCGTGTTTCTGGATTTGAATTTGGACCTTGGGCTAAATGTGGGGGAGAGAGAGACTTTTTATCCACTCTGTTTGGAGAGGGGTCTTCAGCTTTTTATTGGTAACTAAAATTCATGTATTTGGCCTTGGTTAAATAAATAAATAAATAAATAAATTAAATTAAAATAAAATAATAATAATAATAATAATAATAATAATAATAATAATAATGCCCAAGACACTCTGGGCAGCTTCCAACACATATAATAAAAATAATAAAACACCGAACATTAAGCAATAAAACAACAGCAGTGGCAGACTTTGGGTTCTCAAATTTCAGCAGCACCCTGTGTGATGCTAAAATTTGATGCTCCCCACCTCCTGTGCTCACTGTTGCAGCACCTGCTATGGGCCGACACGCAAGTGTGGCTGAACCGAACATGCTACCCTAAAACTGCCTCTGCTAAACAGTGAAAAAGATTTCTCCCTGTCCTGTGGGCAGTCTCTAGGACATTCCAAATCTACAATTCTAACACTAAATTTCATTTTGCTAAGCCACCAGATCAAGAAAAGGGGGAGGGAAACACAACTCACCTTCTAACTGCGACAGATTTGGAGGTACAGTTACTGGTGATGATGGGGATTAGTCGAGGGATGTGTGTATGCTACAGAACGAAAAGCAACAACAGGGAAATCTTAAGAGAGGTTGAAAGCAAAAAACAAAAACAAAACTGTTCCTAAAGTGTAGATGCTAAAATGAAAAGATTGTGGTTGACTCAATCAGACACACAGAGGATGGATTCAGTGCCAAACATGTCCCTCTGCTCCTCTCCATGACAAGAATAATAAATATTTTAAAAACAAACAATTATATGCAGTGTGGTTTAGTGATTATATTGTCAGACTGCAACTGGGGAGATCAAAGTTCAAGGCCTCACTGTGGGACCATGGGCCAGTCTATGTACCTCTCAGCCAGGGCTATTGTGGTGAGAATCATGCAAACTAGCTCAAGATGCTTGGAAGAAAGGTGGGATTTAAATGTATAAATCATGAACATTAAAATGTATTCATTTATTTATTATCAGTTTTTCTTGGCACATGCTTTTGTTAAAAAAATACACTGGACTGAGTTACATCCCTGCGCTTGCTTGCTTTATTTATTTCATAAAATTTATACACCACTTGATTGGGGGGGGGGAGAGACTTAAAGTTGTTTACAAAAATAAAGATTTACAACTCTATTTTAAAACATACAAAATTTAAAATACTAAAAAAGTTTTCTAGTTTTGCCTCCACAGAATCTGTGATGATACAACTACGTGTCTTTTAATGCTGATATTTTCTTAGAACTGGATATGTATTTATTTGTTTCTCCTTCAGGTACTGAAAACCAAAACTGAATTTAAAAATTGCAGGGGATCATCAACAAGGCTCAGACACAGAGTAGGAATTCAAATATGTTTGTTTGCATGCTTGCTTGCTTTCTCAGGGCAAGTTCTGATCACCAACAAACGATTACTATCCCTCCTTGTCTCCAACAAATGATATGCCTTATTCTTCATCAGAATTGTGCAAGTTATGAATTTAGCATAGCTCACTGTCATACTATTAGATGGTAGCCCAGAGGGTACTGTTGAATCACTTCATTTCTTAGGCTTTGTTGGTTTCCAGTCTGGCTATGTTCCGTGAAGGAACGTTGTGGAAATTAGCACATTTGTGCGCTTTTTCTGCAAACAAACACACAGTCTTCTTCTCTGCCAAATGTTGTCCCATTTAGGATTCTTCTGGACAGCATGCTGACTGGAATGTTTTTCAAATGTTTATATGCCCCCCCCCACAACTCCAATAAATAAAAAAATATTCCCTGGTGTCACGATTCACATTTACTTTGAGAGATACTCACCCGGATAATTAATCTAACAGCTACCACACCAGAGGTGGCCATTACTTTGGCACTGTTGGGAATGAGATTAAAGATTGTTGGCATGATGGCTTCTGCCCCATGGTCAAACTTGTTACCCAAGACTGATGACAAATGCCTGAAACAAAACAAAACAACAACACGAGAATTATGTCATAACAGTAAAACAAAAAAATGGAGTTCAATATGATCATATGCTACTTAGAAGCAGACGCTCTCAGCAGCTTTCAGTTGCAACAATACATTACAAACACCATAACCAGAAACTGGGTTAACAAAACACTTCACATTTTTTTCTCTAACAGATAATGTGGTTTATTTTTTGTATGTGTTTTAACAAGCGATAGAGTTAGCGCAGGTCACTGTCGCACTACCGGGGAACAGCCCAGAAGGCATAGCTAAATTGCTTTCTTTTCCAGTACTGTCGGTTTCAGGCCCATTCTTCTCATAAGCTTTCCATCTTGTCTTGACATTCGTAAATTTCAGTGGCGCTGTTAAATGTGCCCTAGAGTCCAGCAGACTCCAATGTAGAATTACCACCAACAGGATGAGCAGGCCAAAGCAACGATTTGAACTTTCCCCTTGAACTCTGGTTGAACCTAGAAGCAATATTATCGCTTTCCGTTTTTTAAAAAAATAGAAGTTCTGCTTCTGGTACATTCATAATACGGCGTAGCACTTGGCTTAGGGGTAAAACGTAAAGAATGATATAAAATAAGCTTCTAGGCACTTAAACCAAGAACTGCCAGTCCTTTCTAGAAATGACATTAATAGGAATGTCCTCCATATTTGCAGCCAGCTAGCACAGTCAATGGTCAGAGATGATGGGAGCGGGGAATCAAATAATATATGGAGGTTCCAAATATCCCTGGTCTGGATGTTAGGCAATCTAACTCAGAGCACCCCTAATCCTGCGAAAACAGAAGTGACAGGACTGCGGACAAACCACTGCAATCCCTGTTACAACAGTTAACAAGACAGCTAAGAATATGTAGACGGCATTCCTTACCCCAATGTGATACAAGCCTCTCGCACCACCTGGGACCGCAAGTCTTTAGCAGATAATTTAAACGCTCCATCGAGCAGGCGCAGGAGTTGAAAGAAGGTATCATACTCAGCAGCTCCAGCCAGCAATAAAGACCGGATCTTTTTTAGCTGTTGGGTAACAAGAACAAACTGCAGATTAATATTAACCATGTTTTATAATAATATTTCATTATTTATGCCCCACCCACCTGGCTGGGTTTTAAAGTGACATGTGAACCACCAAGGAATGTGGCCTATTCAAACTTCTTTCTACAAGCCTGAGAACTGAAAGCTAAATTTCTCCCCACACTCCACTCCCCAGAAAGAAAACTAGAATCTCTGAGGTATAATGGTTCAGAATACATGAGTCCTGGAGAGACATTGTGGTTGGACCAGGGGTGGGGAGCGGGAATCAGAGGAGCTGTCTGTAGCTGACCTAGGGGTTGGGACAGGCTGTATCAGAGGCTTGAGAAGGGGAGGGAGCTGCGGGTGAGGTGTCAGAGACCAGAGAGGGCTCCAGCAGAACACAGGCTCTTAGTGCTCCGTTCTGTCCCCTCGTTACCCAGGCGCACTGAACCTGCTTCACTCCCAACCTCTGTGCCAGGTTCACCTCCAATCTCAGCATCCCCTCCAGCACCACCAGAGTCGTTGGAGTGTACAGGTAGGTGTGAACAGGCACCTTAGATCCAGCCCTCTGGAAGTAATTCCCATTTGCTTGCCAGTTTGCCATGCTGAAGTTGTACTGACTCCATTCCTATATAAGGGACCCAAGAGGGCATGTTTCTTGTTGTATCAACACTGTAGCTTGCTTAGTCATGTGTAGCACCTGCTGCACCTGATCTGACTGAGCATTAAAGATTTCACCAGAAACCATACTCCGAGTTCTTCATCCACTGAGAGCCAAGACATACAGATAAGTTTTGATTTCCATAAATATGCATGTATAAAAGGACTACTGCTATTTTCCACCATACCACAGAGTGACAACTTTCAGGTGTCCACTCTCACATAAGACACAAAAGAGTGGTAAACTACAAGCCAGATAAGTTGCAATACATACAGAATTCCAACAAATACTCACTGCAGCTACTCTCTGTTCCCAATCATGTTTGTCATCAGACAGGATTTCTCTGATTTTGTTTATGGATTCTTCAAGGTCTCGGGCAGAATAAATCTGGAAAGTATACATGACATTTCTTAAGATACAAGGCTTATTTCCATAAATGCTGAGCTTATATTCAACTCCTACGGTTGATGAACCTTTACAACAACTGCAGTCAGAGCAACATCTGGAAGGCACCATGTTGGCTGCCCCCTGCTCTACATACAGTCAGGTAGCTCCCCCCTCCATCTTGTCTGCAAAGAAAATATTAAAGAGGATTTGCATTGGCCATGGGCTGAAGTAAGCTCCACCCACTGCTCTCCCCATAGCTGGCTGAAAATTTTTGGGAGCAGTGGCAGCATAATCTAAGTAACAATACTGAGACCTGGGCTGCTGAAGACATAACTGATGGATAAGAAAGATTGGGTCCATCAGCCTTGACTATGGCTGAAGGACTGTGTGTGTGTGTGTGTGTGTGTGTGTGTGTGTGTGTGTGTTAAGCCACATTATTATTACCTGAACTGTTGGGACATCTTCAAAAGCTTTGATGAAATCCTCCTCATCGACGGCACCAGCTCCTTCTTTAGTGGCTGGCAGATGCCAAAAGGAAAGAGTGCTTTAATGCTTCTTGTTAAACAATATTAAAACAAAATTAGAAAATAACAGGCAAAACAAGCTGATGAAACCATCAAGATGCGCTAGGAGCTGCATGTAAATATTTCTTATTCTGCTAAGGATAAGAAAAGCAAAGAAACCTAGAAGTAGTAAGAATAAGTGTATCTGATAACACAAATAGTCTGGTAATATAATAACAGAATATTACCTAAACTAGAGGGATGCCTTTTCTCTTAAAAGATTCAGACCCAATGCATAATTAATGAAAGTATGGTATTCTTGACAGGAACATACGATGAAGATGGACAGATGGGCCGAAGAAGGAAAATCTTTAAAACATTAATTAGCTGAGGCTATTGTTCAGCACAGAAACTCTTGAAAGCTTATTGTAGGTGCCATTTGGAAACAGCTTCCTAGTTATTTCTTTCTCTTATTTTGGTTTCCATGCTGTTCAGGAAAACAAGATATGAAAAAGTGCTGTCTTTATAGGAACCACTACAAATTGCAAATGAATGAAGATTTGAAGACAATTCTGATTTTGCACTGCTAATAGGGAGAAAATCTGTATGAACAATTTAGTTGTGTAGCACCATCCTGACCTGATGCTATCCCATCATATTCAAGAAAAGTCCTTTTGTATAGTTCTCAAAACTATGAGGACAGCCAGCCTCCTAAAAATGTTATTTTTCTACTAGTCCATCAAGCAAATTCAGATGGGCACTCAAAACAGAAAATAAAACAACGCACATTTTATTTTTAGGGCCATGGGTTTTAGGTCAGCCTTATGATTTATCAAGGCCTCCACCTACCTGGCGCCTTTGAGACCAGAGCTGTTGTTCCAACTCTGCGAGCAGAACTCATCCCACTTTTTCGAGAGCTTGATGGAGCCTTTGAAGATGTCGAGGAGCTGGCTGAGGAAGGCCTGTTTCCATCCACAGAGTCGTCATCATCAAAGTTTTTATCTGCGAAAAAAAGCGCCACAAGATGAAATTCAGGAATTTGTGAATAGCTTCTACATCACATTTTGGAGCAAACTCACTCTGCAAGAATTCAGAAGACAGACCCGATCGCCAGAAGGCTGGCCTTTCAAGTTCCAAGATCATATCCAAATTTCCAAATCCTTTCTTAAAAAGAGGGATATATTACCTTTTCAGTGAAGCGTATGACAGAAACTACAGGAAGGACAGTTTGTTTCAGGGGAATTCCCGATCTCCTAAATTCCTTCCATTCTATCACCCTAATCTCTTCCAATGTGGAGATTAAACATAATTCCTTCACTAAAATTTCTTCTGACAACCAGGAGGAGAGATTGGTTAGTAATCATGCACAGCTTTCTCTCTAAGGCTGTGATTAACTGCTCGAAGTGTTCAAGGGCACAAAGAAATGTTTATTTATTCCTTGGACATGGCTTGCAGCTGAGAAATATTGTAATCATGAAAATGCAGGCCTGGACCATATACACTATTCATATTATCCTCGCCATGTTCTTTAAATTGACTGCTACGGACCAACACTATATCCTGTGGTTGTGAGTTCTCACAAAGACAGCTAAGTAAAGGCAGAGAAAAGTCCATTTGTTTATTGAAACTGTCACATCACAACATTGTCTTCCCATTCTCGTCTTGTCTCAAAGCAGCAACAGCTCCTCACACAATTTTATCCAAATCACTTACAGTGATCCTTGTTTTTTCCACTATTCTAGCCCCTATATCCAATTCAATCACATGCAGGGGATGAGTTCATGCAAGTTGTTCAGCAGAACCAGAAATTAAACATTGTTTTCCCCAGATACAGGATTCAGTTAACCTTCTCAGATCTCCTTTCAGATATAGAAGGCTCTCCAATATGAATTTCAGAAAACTAGCATTAGCTTCTTCTGTCAAACATTTGGTGACTGCTCATTGTTCCTGCTGTTAGAAGCTTTAGTGCTTGTAGTGGTAAGGAAGGTTTTGTCTCATTTTTTAAAAATCCAAAATCCCCATCTTCAAAACATTCCAGGAGGCTGGAGGTGGCAGGTGGTGTCTGGAAGTGACTGCCCCACCTCCTATTCTCTTCTCTCCCCCCCCCCCCCGCCCCACTAAGGTTTTCATCCCATAGCATGACAATGAAGGCCTAGTTAACCTCAATTTCTAGAAATAGTTTCACAAGTCTTTGGAGCCCAGATAATGGAAACGTGTGGTGAAACTATTTTGATGAGCCCATAAAAATGTTCTGACATTTATCATCCATTGCCAATGGTTCCATTCAAATACATCTGCTTAAGTCCATCCTCATTCAGTAGACAACATAAGAATGTGCTCTTTTATTTTGTACTGGAATAAACCTGAAGTGAAATGTGAGAGACATAGAGGCCTATGAAGGAAGGCACTCCCTCAGGCTTTCATTGCCTCCAACATCGTCAACAATGTGAAAGTGTCATCCTTCCACCCCTTAGAAACAGACCTTAAGTAACTGCAGAAATGTTCATGTTTATTATAAAAAGAAAACAGATACATCATTAGCAAAGACCTGTGCTTGAAAGCAAAAAGACTGCATTGCTGTTCTCGTTCTCTCTCTTTCTTTCACACACACAAGCACACACACAATACACTCATCAAGGGTGTGGTTTATTATACCTTAGCATTAAATGGAGAGGAAAAAGCTTGATGTCCACGTTTCTCTTTAGAGAAGCACATTTCATTTTTATACGTATCATAAAGAGAAACCGCTTTTCAAAAGAATGCAGTATAAAAAAAGATATCTCCTTATACATAATGTATAAAAATCCAGCACCCTTAGGAAAAGTTACAAAAATACATTTACCCATAACTTAGACTGAAAACCCATTTCATTCTGCCCACTAACCAGAATAAACTAACATTTCCCAGCTTCCCCTTCAGTTTCAATAAACTGACATATTCAGACACCAAATTCTGAAGCAGCATGTGCACAAGGCAGAAAGAGAAACAAAGAATAAGACAAAAATCAGAATATGGAACTTCGTGAAAACAAGATGCAAGCAGTCAGATCAACACAGTAAAGTAAAACTCCTATCCAACCTCAATTAAAACAGTTGGGTGATGCAGTGATAATTTATAGCAAGTGTTAGATTCCGCACTCAGGCTCTACAGTTCATAACACTAAAGTCCAAACAAGCTTTACTTCCACTGGCTTCAGTGGCCATAAACCAAGGCAGTGCATGGTTTTCTGTGATGAGCGATTATCTATCACTGCTGATTCTTTGGCTCGTGTATGAATGATGACTAGCAATATGCAGACACATGCCTTGTGTGTAAAGAGGCCTTTGTCTGCTCTCAGTTGTTAGGGAAGAATAAAACGCTTACAAAACCCTCTCACATTTTCTCTAAATAAAAGGAGGAAATCGTGATAAATTTGCTTACGGGTACAAATCCTTTTGCAAATAATCTTCCTCAACATTCCTTCATGCTTTCCATAGCAAGCCGAGATGCAACGCTGTCTTGCAGACCACTGCAGCTTTCAAGTCCAGGACATAATTAATCCTTGCCCCTTGTTGTTCATTAGGCATTCTGCTTTCACACGCGGAGTTAAACAGCCCAGGCTTCAGCACTGAGACTTGAGAGGAGGACAGAGCATCCCACAGTCAATCCTTGTGAATTTCAAACCTTCCAATGGGGTGAAACAGGCTAGGACTGAGAGGCAGCTGCAGCAGGCAGTCCTACTATGGCTGGCTTGACTACCAAGAAGTAGCAGTAGCCCAGTATCATCCCTTGGGAAGGTTAATGGGAGTGTCTCAACAGCTCTCGTCATTTGTCCATGACAAATACATTTGTCATTATTAGTTTTTAAAAGAATGGTTGTGTCAAGGGCAAAATCAGAAGAAAGAGATGCTATGACAGGAATTCCAAGAATCTATGCTGATTAATGGGGGGACGGGACACACAACTGCTCCTCTCACAGGTTTATAAATTCTATAAAGGCACGTCAGGAGGCTTCTAAATAATGTTTGCTTCGAAACAAAAGAACAAACTAACAAGCAAGAGGTTAGGTTTTCATAACCTAAGTCCTAAATATGTTGCTCTTCAGATAAAACCATGGCTCAGCGCTGTGTTCCCCATTTCCAGTGGAAAGCAAGAGTTCTCAGGAGAAGCAATTTTGTAGCAATCTGTTTATTTAACAATTGTGCTGGTGACTCTTAGCCCAACAATTTTGGATAAAAGGTCCACAAATTTCCCAGAGCAATAAGTAGACATCTCTAACAAATATATCTAAGCAGCCACCTTCAAAGACTCAACATACGTTGTTGCTAGAAATGTGATTTGTTCCCTAGACTCTAGAGCAACGTGTAGAGCAGCCTTTCACAACCTGGTATCCACCAGATGTTTTGCAATACAGCTTTAATCAATCCCAGATGACATGGTCAATAGTCAAGGGTGGTGGGAATTGTAGTCCAAAACATCTGGAAGCTAGCAAGTTTGGGAAGGCTGGTGAAGAGCACATGCAAATCTGCGCATGTATTTTCTGGTGAGAGAGGGAGAGTTCTTTTGTTTCAACAACTGGATTCCCTAAGCTGTTTTCCAAACAACACAGTGAAAACATGCCAACAATATCAGAAAAATATTAGCCTGTTCTCACAGGCACAGTTATTTTCGTAACCGCTGTGGCACACTTAACAGGCTCAGATTCAGTACTGAATCAAAATCTTGGAAATGATAGCAGCAGCTTTCCACAAGAGGCTTTTAAGAGAATGGCACTTCCACAAAGAGCTAGGTTTATTATTGATCCTGCCTGTCATAGCATACAAAATGCCTTGTGAATTTGTTTTTCATTTAGTGTTATATCAACCCCACTGGTTAGGTTAGAATGAAATGGGGCTTGTCTAAAGTAAACTAATATGCCCCACTGTGGCTGATCAGGGTTTTGAGTACGACTGTTTCAAGTTGAAAACAAACCATTGGCTCCTTAGCACCATATTTCCTGGATTACTGAATAAAGAGCACATGCCATAAAAGCTCTAATGCACTGAGGAAAATTGTCCACTCCCACATAAGCTAGACCACTAAAACTTCACAATGTAGAAAAAAATATTCCTGATAGGAAGAAAATATTTCATATTATCATCTTCTACCTATCAAAGATAAACCTTGAAAAATGTGTCAAAAAAGCACTACACAATATTTTTTAAAATTACCCAGGAGAAAAATTCCATACATTTACAGTGAAATGGACATTAATATCCCATGATGCTAACTTAATCCTAAAAGCAGGTAGACAGAGGAAAGTTTTTCAATAATTAACACCCAAGGTGTTATTTTAAACCAGCTACATGATTCTGGATTACAGCACTGATGCAATCAGTTGCCGTGTCTTCTAACCCCTCAGAAACAAGTCTACTTCTACAATTACTTTTTTGGGCAAGTACATTGTATGGAAACAAGCCTCAATGACCTCAACCAAACTCAGCAAGCTGCTTTCAGTGCAGGAAAGGGAGTAGGCAGCTGCGCCTAAATGGCCTAGCAAGCACAGACTCCACTATCTCAAATGCAGAAGCTTTCTACCTTTTTTCCTGGTCTCACCTTGGGATAGTGAGACGGGGGGGTGGGGGGAGAGAGCATGAGACCTCCCAAGGGTCTGCCCCACTGCTGCAGAACCCACACCCTCCCTTGGTTTACTATGGAGCTGTGGCCTATGAAGCAGGCTGGGAGATGATCAGAGTGCAAGCAGTGGAAAGCTCACTCTGAACCTGGCCAGACACTTGGCAGGCAGAATCATGTAACCTAGCAAGAGGCAGTGAAGGTGAAGAATAACTACTTTGTAACCTCCCCAAGAGCTGTCCAGCAGAATTCTTTTGGATGGCCCAGAGGCTAGTCAGGCAAGAAGTAGCGGGTGGACCTTTGCAACACCCAGTTTGCATGGTGTGAGTTGTTTGAATGGCCCTATGAAAACAAAGTCACTAGGCCCTGCAGTGCCTTGGATGTTTCAGCTGTTGAAACCCCGGTCGAGG